TTTTATTCCTGCAGGAGCTGTCCAGGGAAAGTTTGGGCTGTCCCAGTCTGTGCAGCTCTGCTCTGTTCTCTGATCTGAGGACAGACTTCAACATCATTCTTACCCCTTTCAGTGCCACTCACATCCACTGTTATTAAAAATCAGAAGTGTTATTTTTTTCCCCCCCACTGTCTGATCTCATTCAAACCATGAAAACAACAGCCTAAGCATTTTGCCCTGTTGTATCTCGGGGAGCTGGAAACCTTCTACCAGCAAGAAACTCTCCCAGCAGTTACCATGGTGACACTGGTAATAGATATTTAAAGGCAGCTCACTCATAATCACATCTATTAGATACCAGGAGGCTTTAGCAAGAGAGGCACAAAACAAGCTTGAAACCAGGGACCCCAAAGAGGCTTGGTGATGGTATAAGTGGACAAGAAATTCATGGAGAGGGATGTGCTTACACCATAATTTAGCTGAACACAAAGGGCTCCTGGTCAAATCTGAGATGAAGCCTGAAGAATAAACTGGGTTTAGTCAATCTTTTAAAAATTGGTCCTGGAAGCCTCATTTTCAATAGTGGCAGCTCCATAAATCCTTCCAGAGTGGTCCTTGCCAGAAATGCAATCAAAAGCTGTGCTGCAGCTCATCCCCCATTAGAACCAGGCTGCTGGAAACCCCCTGGCCTGCCAAGGTCACCTGGAAGGGGTTTCCTCCAGCAGAGGAACCAGGCTGGCTGCAGATAATGCTGCTCTCTGTGCCCACCCCCCTGTCCTGACACCCTGAGCCCCAAAACACAGCCCCAAACTCTGCTCCAAAGGGACCCTGCCTCCCACCTGGAGGGTTCAGTAACCCAAGGAACAGGGCCATACTCCTTTTCAGACGTTATTATTTAGGCAATCTGGACAAAGCTCACCAAGTTGGAGAGGTGTGCTTGGTTATGTAAGGGTTAAATAACTCATTCCTGTAGGTTCTAGTTCTGTAGTTCCAGCCCACTGGAATGCAACGAAGGGAATCTGCAGATTCAGATCTCCAGATATGAAGCCACCTCGAGTTGGCTGAGCCTGTGTAACAGTCATCAAATTGAGATTTCCTTTCTCTTTTTTTTTTTTTTTTTTTTTGCTGCCTATTTCCATGACAACTTTCCTGCAGTATCAACTTCTTTATAATGGAAAGGTCTCTCAAAGAGAATTTAGGCTTCTATAGCAACAGCTTCAATGCCTGGGAGATGATGATGATGCCTGAAACTTTACACAGAGCTTTTTTTGGACCACACAAGTGCATTTCAAATTACACAGGTGAAAACAAAAGCCTTGTGTGATATTAGGGAAACTGTGAAGAGGAGAAGGAGTAACTCGCTGAAGTGGAACAAACACAAAGAAACCACCTCACTTTCAAAAAGGGACGAACGCTTTGAGACCTCAAACGTTAAAAGAGAGCAGACAGGATCAAACACTCATCTTGAAAAGCCACATCCTGTTCCTCCTCTCTGAGCTACAGAACACAGTCACAAGGAACAAGTCTGCTGATCCGAAAAGGAGATTTTATTGAAAGATCTCTCTCTGCAGTCTATTTTATATTGACCTAAAGAAGAAAAACTTTAAAAAAAATCAGTGAGTCAGGATGCCTTTTGAGTTCTAACTCCCATATAACTGCCATTTAGCTGCAATCTAACCTTTTTTTCAGTACTTTAGCTGTTTGCCATGGTAGTGACATTATTCTCCAACACTGAAAGCCTTGCTGCCTCAGAAGAAAAAATAACTGCACTCTCAAACATATAAATTGGTTAAACTCCAAAGCAAAGGGAAGTACAGAAGCTAAACCAGCTTTCCTTCACTGAATTTAATACATTTCACAAACACTTCACTCCTCCAATGTGTTTTAAAATCTACAATCTCTTAAAAGATAAAATTCTCCAGTCACAAGCTGGATGAGAAGTAGGAAAGGATCAGATTTAATGTACAGGATGGAAATGAAGCCCAGCAGGCCCCAGCACCCTTCCTTTTGTAACCACTGGAAACCTCTTTGCCACACAACAAGTGAGGTTGGCAAGTGTGATCACCTGAAAAACAGCCAACCTTTCTTCTGCTTGTGGTGATCGAAAGCTTTTCCTTTTTTCCTTAAAGTACCCAATAATTTGCCTCCTTTTCCTCTCATTCTCCTACACCATCACAGTTCTGGTAAGGGGGAAAAGGAGCCCACAGGTAGGAAGGAATGAAAGAGCCTGGATCTGATCTAACTCTTGTGGACTTCCACCTTCACCCACTTGCTGCCCACTTCAGAAGAGACTCTGGAACTGGCAGCTTGACAAAATAAAGTGGAGTGCTGCGAAAACTTATTTTAAATTTTTAGTAGCAATGCCAAAAATGGGCAGCTACAGCCTGTTCAAAAGCTGGGACCTCCGCAGCTGAGGCGAACGCAAACCCGGGATTTCAGACGAACCCCGCATTATTTCCAAGGGTTATCCTGTCTGGAAGAACACTGAAGTGTGGGAGGGAGACTGAGTCACCGTAAAGGTCAAGTGAAACGCAGTTCTTTGGTGTCTCCATGTGCTGCCCTCTGCTGAAAGAGACGCCGAGCTCGCTGGAGCAGCACAAAAACTCGGGATCATCCGCGCCCGCCGCTGCCACCGCGCAGGGAAGGGACACGCTCGCCCCAAATGAAAATGGAACATTTCGCGGCACCAGGAAAGGATAAAAATAACCTAAGCTCTTGTGCTGGACTGAGCAGCTCCAGGATGAAAGAGTGGCTTCAGGGACAGCAATCCTGGAGAGGGAAGAGGACTGGATGCATCACGACTGCAGGGATGAAGGGTCTCAGGCTTAGAAAAGAGAAACGGCTGAAAGTTTCATTTGAACAACTTATTTATCAAAGATGTGCTGAACTCTCACATTCCCTCTCAAATCCTTAATCCTCCATCTGATTTCACCCACATAAAAAAAAAATCTGTTCAGGCAGATGAGATTATTCAAATACTCCAGCACAAGTATTTGTTTGTAAGTAGAACATGGAGCAGCATGAATGGAGAAACCTATGAAATATCTAAGGGGCGAAATATAACATATAATGATAGAAGAGTCTCTATAAATATTTATATAATCTTATTTACAAAAATATTTACACAAGCGTTATATTTACAAACAAACAGCAACACGGCATTTCCTCCAAAACCCAGGAACTGAGAAAAGCAAGGCAAAGAGCAATATTCCAACCACACATACAAATTTTCAGGGCTGGAAATTCAAATCCAACATATCCTGTTTTCCCTTCGTGCCTTTGGAAATCGGGCTTTGCCGTGTGACTCCGAGATCAGCCCAGCAAGGTTATTTTGGATCAAGGAGAGGAAGACTGAAATCTAAGGTTGAGGCTCTCCTCAGGGAGATCATCCTGCCTGCAACCACCTCTACCTTGTAAAGATGCTGCTGTAGTAGGTTTTAACAGCATGCTTTTCCAGGGTTTCTGACCTTAAAAAAGAGTTTAAAAAAACCCCTCCAAACCTCAATAAACAAGCTAAAAAAAGATACAAAAAGAGTGAGAGAGAGGGAAGAGGAAGAGTAGCGGGCAGGTGGCCCCGCTGGTGCAGCCAGTAGAGGGCAGTGGAATTTAGAGGAAAGTTGTCTGAACTTCGTGTAATTAAATATTTGAAGTGATAAAACCGTCAGTTTACATCGTTATTTCAACCTACCTATTCTGGTCTAAACTAAGACATAAGCGGGACAGAGAGCAAAGGGTGATAGAAAGGCAAGAAAATGTATTACTTTGGGACCTTTAAAGAGTTGCACTTTGGGCTATCAGGAAGGTTTCAGGCTTAGAGCATCATTTAAAAGTAATTATTTAATCTTTTAAGTAATTTTCAATTATTGCAATGCACTAGTTCAACGCATCCTATTGAAACCAACACAGCTGCTTTTCATGGGTTTAAAAACCCATGGGTAACTTAAAATAGGAAAAACATCAATTAAGAAGAAAGGTGTTTGCAAGGCAGTCCCATCGCCACTTGTGAAGATGAAAACTGGTGCTAGCCCACCAGAACGAGAAAATGAAACAGGTTAAGCAAAACGCAACGCAAGAAGATTTTTAATGCTCACAGCACCTTGATCACGCAGGGCGAAAGCAACACTTCTCACCTCATCACCAAACAGAACAATCATCCCATGGCCAAGGTTCCCGCACGACTTGACATGAGCCCCAATTCCGCGTTTTGTGATGGACAGACGGATTCTGGTTGCTGTCTGAGCCCTCCCGAGACACGCAGGACCTGAAGCAACAGCGCTGCTCGCACCGGGGGAGACCGAGGTTTGCCCGGAGAGGCTGCCGGAGCCGTGCGGGTGCCCCGCGTGTCCGCCCGGCCCGGGGGGGACACGGACCGGGGGCAGCCCGGGCGCTGCGGGGCCGAACCGCCCGCGGGTCCCGCCGAGGCTCCGCGCTCGGCACCGGCGACACCCGCCCCGAGCGGGACCTGTTGCCCTCACGCACCGGACCAGCCGCGCGGGGGGACGCGGCGGCCGCACCGCGACACCTCCCGAGCCCTCCCCGCGCCTCAGCCCGGGCGCGGGGACTCGGTCCCGCACTGCGGCACCTCAGCCCTCCCTCAGCCCGGCGGTGCCCCGGGGACCTTGCCGGTCCCTCGCCAGCCCTGGCCGGTCCTCCGCAGCCCGAGCGGAGCCCGCAGCTCCCGTTACCCCCCGCCCCGCGCTCACCTGCCGCCGCTCCCGGGGATGCTCCCGCAGCCCGAGCGGAGCCCTCACCCGCCTGCAGCGGCCGCCCCGGCCGCCAGGGGGCTGCCGCGCGGCGCGCCGGGTAATGTAGTCCCCACTCTACCCGGCACAGCCAATCCCGCGTCGCGCCGCGCGGCGTGCCGGGAGTTGTAGTCCCTCTCCCGCCACGCACGCTGGGAAGTGTAGTCCGGTCCCGCTGCGCGCCGGCGGCACCTGCCTGCAGGAGAACTACAACTCCCGTGAGACAACGCGCGCGGCGCGGGGGCGCGGCGCCGAACCGCGGCCGGTGTCCCAGGGCCGGTGTCCCAGGGCCGGCATGGCGGCCCCGCCGCCCTCAGCGCGGGGAGAGCCCTCGGCGCCGCCGCCGCCGCCGCTGCAGTACAGCGTCCTGCTGGAGCACCTGGTGGGCGACAAGCGGCGGCCCCGCGCGTGGGACCCCGCCGTCTTCGGCGGCATCCCCTGCCCTCCCAAGAGCGAGGAGCAGAAGATGGTGGAGCGGGTCATGGAGAGCTGCCCGTTCAAGGCGGCGCTGGCCTGTGTGGGAGGTGCGGCGGCCGAGGGGGCCGGGGGGGGGCGGCCGGAGGGACGGGGCGGTGCGGGAGCGGGGTGTCCCTGCGGAATCGGGAGAGGGTGATGGAGAAGAGGCTGCGACCCTCGCGTTTGATTTTCCTCCTCCTGAGCCTCCTCCGATGCCTGTCTCAGGTCCCGAGGGGGGGATCGCTGCCTGTCTGCCCTCCTTGGACAGGCGGAGGTGCTGCCCGCGGTACCCACGGACCGGCACTGCCCCCGGGGCGCTCCAGGGCTGCTCTGAGAGCCCGCAGGGGATGCGCCGCTCCAATCCCTGCTCACCGCACGCTGTTTGCCTTCCGCAGGGTTCGTCCTGGGAGGTGCGTTCGGGATCTTCACGGCGGGCATCGACACCAACGTGGGGTTTGATCCCAAGGATCCCTATCGCACGCCCACGGCAAAGGAGGTGCTCAAGGACATGGGGCAGAGGGGCATCTCCTACGCCAAGAACTTCGCCATCGTGGGTGCCATGTTCTCCTGCACGGAGTGCGTGGTGGAATCTGTGAGTAGGAACCTCTTCAGCGCTGAGAAATGTTTTATTGTACCCTTACTCAGTAATCCTGTACTAGATGCACAGAATTATGTATGTCCCCTTTGCAAAGTCCTTTTCAGTTTAAGTCCTGAATGTATTAGCAAGTGTAAGGATTGCTTTTTTTAAACCCTGGCTGCAAGTACTTGTTACTTTAAAACTCAAGTGGTGAGTTGCAGCATGGTAATTTGAGTGTCTAAAAATTCCATATGTAGAATGGGATCCTTTGAGTAGAGCTCTTGAGTAACAGTCAGCCTGTTTTCATCTGGCCCCTACAGCAAGAAATGAACTTGTGCAGCTCAGCAGTAAATCCATCATCCGTTTTCTTAAATAGGAAAATCACCCTGTTATGAGTTTGAGTCCTGCCTTTTAATTGAAAGACACAGCTGTTTCTTGACTCATCTAAAGAAAAGTGTAGCTGCTTGCACAGTGAGCAGAACAAATTGGTCTCTGCACTGGTGAAAATCCAGCATGTCCTGGCTATGGAAGTAGTGTATCTTTGTCAGCAGGTGCTGTGGCTCTCACCTGTGCCAAGAACCAGCTGCTTGACCAGGCTCAGGGCTGCACTGAGGTAGTCACAGCACTTTTAAAGCCTCTGAGCAGGTGCTGGTGTTCAGTGCTGTGCTCTGGGGCTGTATCAGCTCACCTGAGCATCCTTCCTGTAGCACTGCATTGCACCTTGTGGATTTATTTGTCCTCCCTCTCCCAGCGACCTGTTCCTTCCTCCTCTCCTGGCCCTGCAAGTTTGGGAGTGCAGGGCCATCTGCTGAGAGCAGAGGGGAAAACATCCTCAGCTGAGAAGGGGCTGGAAGGTGGTTTAACCTTCCTTGCCCTCAGTGCAGACACTGAGTGTTTATTCCGTATTTACTTGTGGACTCTGACTTTTAATTCCCCAGTATCGCGGGAAGTCAGACTGGAAGAACAGCGTCATCAGTGGCTGCATCACGGGAGGAGCCATCGGCTTCAGAGGTTGGTGGTGCCTGCTGGGAGCTGTTTCTGTGATAAGACTCGAATTTGGTTATGCAGCACACAGTGCTCTGTGTGGAACACACACCCTGCAAACCTCTTTGCGTGGGGATTAGAGTGAAGCCCGAATGAGGATGCGCTCCAGACTGACAGGGCTGCGCCCTCATCTTCCTGTCAGCTCCAGAGATAAGCCTGGGGAGGGAAGGCTTGGTCATACAGGACAGTGAGATTGGAGGAAAACCAACAGAATTCACAAGAAGAATGAGGAGATGCTGCTGGCTACCTACATTCTTCTGTGGTGTAGTGGGGAGGAAGCCAAAAATATACAACTCTGAAGCTACAGCTCGTGTTAACAGAGCTTTACTTGTATCTACTATTTCACTGGCAGTAACACTTAATTTGCACAGTGTGTAAATTGCTTTCCTCCTTTCTTATGAATCAAACATATGTATGGAATAGGAGCACTGTGGTTTTAGTCCAGCAGCACTAGTGGGGACTTTGGGAAGCCTTGAGTGGTAATAACATCTGGAAAAAGCCCCAGGTAGGAACAGAGCTGCTCTGCTCATCAGCAATATCAAACATCTCACACCTCTCCTTAAGTAAAAAACCTGTCCATAGAGCATAAAAAAAAAAGAAAGCTCTCTTGAAAGTGCTTCTAATTGAGCTTGTTAAGTTATGTCTGTCCTCGACCTAATCCTCTTAGAGCTTTCAGAGCAGTAGCTGCTCTTCCTGTCCCTCCCTGGTCCCACAAAGCCACTTGCAGTGCCCAGATCAGAGCACACCAAAATCAGCAGTGGCCACTGGCGTGTGCTCTTCTGTCCCTTTGTGGAGACTGAGGAACACAGGACCCAGTCAGGGTGTCCTGCTGGTCCCACTGCGGGGTTTGTACCTCGGGCCTCCCCTCACCTTGGACAGTGCCGGTGTTCCCTGGAGCTGCACTGCCGTGTTCCTGCAGGTGTGACCCCTCTGAGCCAGCACAGCATAGGAGAGTTACTGGGAAGGGAAGTATTTTTCCTATTTCACCTCATTTCCCCCCCTCTTGCCTTGCAGCCGGTTTGAAGGCCGGGGTGATCGGCTGCGGGGGATTCGCCGCTTTCTCCGCTGCAGTCGATTACTACCTGCGGTAGCAGCCGGATCCCTCAGGAGCAGCCTTCCCTCCAGCTCCAGTGCCGCTGCTGAGAGCCTGCACCACGGCAGAACCACCAGGCTTACCTTTCCCCTGCCTCTGGAGTCCCGGCGAGCGCGAGCGGGGCGGCGTTGGCCGCGTTTCTGAATGACTAACAACGCTCTGGCTCCCAGCCCGGGCGAGCTGCTCCGGGCAGGCTCGCGGGAGTACGCGAGGATGGAGCCAGGGACAGAGCAGCATCTCCAGGACGGATCAGCTGACTGTCAGTTTCCAGGAAACACGCCTGGACTCTGAGCTTTCTCAATCTGATTTTGATTAAGTCCGTTGCTGGCATCAAAAGAGGCAGGAGGACAACCTCCGAGCAGAAACGCACTGATTTAGGTTACCGTGTGTTTGGATGTGCTGCGAGTGTTTAACAGTTTGCAGCTTGCTGCTCTGTTCGGGAGAGGTAAGATCCTGTGGAGAAATAAGTTTGTTCCAGGCTTTTCTTAAAATACCATCTGAAGACAAACCACCATCTGTACAACTTGTCTTATTTCATAAGTACAGAGATGAGCGCCAGATTTCTTTACCATGTCTTAAAGGGAAAAGCAGAAAGGAATCCTCAGCCTCAGAGCCATGTGGTTACTGGCAGATGAACAAAACAGTTTAAGGGGAAAGAAAAGAGGTTGTTGCTGAAGTATAATTCTCTGTAGCCACTTGGCTAGCCTGATTTAACCTCGCTGTGGGAGTACAAAGAATTTTGCTACTGCTTTAACTGCCCCAGGCTCGCCCCATTAGTTCCAGCAGTTTGATAGTGAGACTAGAAAGCAGAGCTGTGAGAATAAACCACTGTTTGACAGATCATTGGGCATTCACTCGGCACACAGTCTGCTTCCTGTCACGTCCCTGTGCCACCTCAGAGAGCCCCAGTGCTACACTGGGGGGAGTGAAGTGTTACTCTGCAGGACACCGGTGCTGAAGGCAAAATATGTTTGTCAGCTCGAGGAGCTGCTGCCTTCGTGATTTGTGCTCCTGCTCTTCTAACTAAGCTCTGTTCTCAGACCTCAAGGCGTCATTTTTAACCTTCATTGAACCACTCTATAAAGGCAAACAGCCACCACCATCCTTTTGAGGCAGACAGACCTAATAGGGGTTCTCCCACCCACTTCCCCTCCTTTGCTTCCACAGTTTGATGTCCCAGAACAGTGACAGCACGGGCTTACCTGGAGGAGCAATACCAGCAGGGTGGTTTGGCTGATGCAGTGGTCAGTTTGGAGGCACATTGTCTCCCATTCCCACACAGAAGAGGGGAGACAGCACCATGTGATCTATCAGATGAGGTTTCCAGATCTCCTGATGTCCCTTACTGTGCTTGTTGAGTATCCTCAGGGCAGAAGCTGTGCAAGTCAGCTGAATTTTAAGCTTGAGTAATTCTAGGCTGATTAAACAGGCTGGCTCCAGACAGTCCAGGTTTGTTTTCCCCCAAAAAGCAAGGATGGAGCCCAAACCATAAGAAATCTCTTCAAATATTGCCTGGCACACTGCCTGTGCATATACCACTGGCTTGAAGTGCAGCTAGCAAGAACTCCACTATATAGAAAGAGTAAAGCTGTGATGCCAAGGTGATCAGTTAGTGCAAACAGCAACACCACAGGGCTTCTTTTGTGCAAATATTGGGGCTTTGCATTTTTATTAACATTTTTTTTTCTCCTCACATGGTTTTACAGCCATTTAAAGTTTATAATCTACAGAAATTGAAACAGAACACAAACAAAAATATATCCTTAACAACTTTTGAAAGTCAAATATTAATTAACAGTTCTATTCTACCTGTAGCTGCAAGAGTCCACCCCCCCCTCTTTTTCCTTCCTGTAGGGACAAGCAAAAGCCAGTCATGGGGACCAGGCCTCCAGCCACTGTCGCACGGGGGGAGATTTGGCTGTACAGAGTCTGCATCTGGAATGACGGTGTCGTGGACAGACTTGGACACATGTAACAAATCAGACACACAGGGGTCCGTTGTGCAGTCAGATCTAAAGCTCGGCCTCCTTGCTGGGTCCAGGGCCAAGACAGACGCCTGGTTATTTTCTGCAATGCTGTTTCCCTTCTGTTTAGCTGGTAGTCAAGAGGAGCAGGGTCTGGAGTGTGAGCCCTTTGGAGGGGGACTGAGAGACCTCCCCTCCTTGTCGCTTTGCTGGTGCAGGGCTGGCAGGTGCTGCCTTCCCCAGGGAGGTGGGCTGAGGACATACCTGGTGCATCAGGGGCCGGGCTCTACCTGGAACAGTCCGTTAGTGGGGAGGGAAAGGCAACGCCGCTGTCGGGGATACGCTTGGTCACTTCTCATCCATCTCCATTTGGCACAGGAGAGCACAGGGCCAACGCAGTCGGGGAGGTGGGGGGGGGGCTTCTCCCATAAGAACACGGACTCGGCTCACAGAGCGAAAGGTTTTGTGTCCCAACAGGTACCAACACCTACCTGGGCGTGTGGGAGGGTGGGGGACATCCTGGGAGCCAGGCACTCAGGTGGCCGGAGCACCGCCTGGCAGCGAGTGCAGGCACGTGGCCATCCTGCCTTGGGACGTGGCCTGACACTCCGGTCATCAGCCTGGGAGGGGACAAGAACGGAGCCACTGAGACGGACCTGAGCTGGCCGGGCACGGCTAATCCTTCTGCCATGGATGGGAAGGCCATGAAGGCTTTCCTTCTCCTCTGTGCTGCTTTCCAGGCTGGGTGACCATCCAGTTGCTCCAGAGCACTGGCCTCTGGCAGCCTGGCTGCCTCCATGTGCTGCCATGTGCCCGGTGCAGTGGGGACGGCCAAGGAGGGAAATAAAAACCTCCTCGTTCCCATGGGCACAGCAGGAATGCTGGTGCCCTGGCAGGCTCTGACACAGGGTGCATGCAATGCTCATGGCAGTGCTGGGCTGGCAGGGGCGTGAGTGCCTCACAGGTGTACAACAGCTGGCACCCTGTGCCCTGCCAAATTTCCACACTGGGGAAATTTGGGCTCCACGTGCCCTGATGGGACCCCGTCAATGCCAGAGCACAGACATGGGGTCAGCACAGGAAGCAGACCTGCCTGGCTGGCCATCCCTCCAGCCTGCTGTGGGTTGAGACCAGCACAGCACCTCTCGCTCCAGCCTTGTGTGAGGGGTTATCCCAAAATGAGGCGAGATCCAGCGAGGGAAGTAACCACCATGCTACACACACACAGGCAAAGCACGGGATTAGGGCTGTAGAGGGGACTGGCCTGAAAACACCCAGAAGAGCCGAGGTGAGGAGGAAGCAGCACCTGCCCCTCTGCCCTCGTGGTCCCAGGTTTGCTCGGGCCAGAGCGGGATCCAGGCACGGGGTCCAAGGATTGCGCAGGCAGCGAGTCAAAGCAGAGCTGGTCGTCACCATCACCGGGGAGGGAGGCCCGTGAGCTCCCAGGCCCTGAGCGAGCCAGTGCTGCACATGCAGGCGTGGGGCAAAGGGAGCTGGGCAGCAAAATAGGCACTCGTGGGGCACTGCAGGCGTCAGGGGTGCCTGGTAGGAGTGAGCGGGCAGAAAGGAGTCCAGGAGAAAACTAGCCAAGGGGGAAGCCTGTGTCCACAGCCCTTGTCAGTCACTACCTCTTCCGTTGAGCAAATATACATAAAAACAATTCTTGAACACAAGGAGGGACAGAAGACACGACTACTTTACAGAGAGGCACGGTGGGACCGGGCCCCTGGAACGCGATTGTACAGGAGCTGCAGGCGGCACCGTCCTGGGCCTGGGCTGGGCTCCCTGGGGGCTGCGATCCAGTCCATGTTCCCCAGCAGGGAGCTGGGAGTGTTTGCAACTGGTGCCTTCTCCCTGCAGGCTACACGTCTGTGGAGAAGTAAAGTGTGTTGCGTTTCAGCTCGGTGAAGGAGATGGGAGGATGCTGCAGGTAGTAGAGAAGGACCTGGACCTGCAGAAGGCAAATGGGGGGTGTTACTGCAGGAAGGGGAAGAGCTGCTGCCTCCCACCTTGTTCCTGTGCAGCAGAGAGCGACAAATCTACCCAGACAGGCAGGTGAACCCCTCCATTCCCCGCCCAGCACTGCCAGCACTGCTCTTACCTGGGCCATCACATCGTGGGACCAGATGTCGGAGGCCAAGGTGAGGTGTGCCTTGCTCTCCCCCTCTGAGGGTCTCAGCAGTGTCGGCCCAAAGACCGTGGCCAGATTGTGGAGAGACATTTTGTTGATAGGCTCCTTTTCAGCCACCCTGTGGGGTACAGGAAGAGAGGGAGTGTCAGCCCCTAACGTTGTTCTGGAGCAGGGCAGCCATGGGGTGATGTGGGGGGCGAGGGCTGCTCTCCCTCCTCCCAGCCCCAGGGGGGCACCTCCAGCTCACCACTGCACTTCACAGCCCTCAGAAAACCCAGGTGCAGGGCAAGGAGCTCTGCCCCCTTCACGGCCTCCTCCGGAGCCGCCGGGCCTGGCCGGGAGCCCTGGCTGTGATGTGGCAGCAACCGAGCCCTCGCTGCTGTGCTGCGGGGCCTCCACCCTTCCCCACCCCAGCAGGCTACGGGAGCTCCTCACCAGCCTGTGCCCCCTGCACCCACTCCCCACAAGGCTCCCTGCCCCAAGAACCCTGTGGGAGCCCTGCCAGCATCGAGGGAAGCAGGACCACAACATTGCCATGTTAGGAGGCAGCTGTGCTCCCCGGCACAGGCTGCTCGCTTGAGCCCTGGCCAGGGGAGCAGATGTGGGAACTGGCTGTGCCCGGTTCTCAGGATGGAAAGGGATTTTTCCTTCCCCCATCCCCCAGCATCAATCACTTTTTCTGTTTGGTTTTAGCCAAACCAGAGGGGAAAAAAAAAAAACAACAAGGCTTCATGATGCAAGTAACATGAGCTGTGAGCCCCAGTCCTAAGCTCGTGGCCAGGCTCTGTGTGCTGCTCTGCTGCCCTCCTCACAGCACCGTGCCCTCCACATTTTTCAGGCCTCCAGTGACCCCCAGAACTGCCCGTCCCCAGGTCTGGATGGGCTTCATCTGGGACAAGATGAAGGCTGTCAAACCACGCACTGCTGACACTCACAGGGTGTCACCTGCACCTCTGAGATGTGTTCCCAGAGCTGACTGTCGCTGGGTCTTGGCCACCCCCTGCTGACAGGTGCCAGGGATTATTGCACCTTGTTTTGCTGGAGCGGTGGGAAGGGACACAGCACTGCTTTCCCGCTCAGGGGACACTGCACCACTCCCAGTTGATTCCCTGTCCTGAGCCGAGGTCAGCTGCTCCCCACAGAGCTCACCCAACCAGCTGCACACCGGATGAAGCAGCCAAGAGCTGCATCTTGCCAGAGAATGTGTGCTCCCTGCAGAGCTGACCCACATCAGTGGCCAGGGGCAGCACAGGCCCCACTGGCACCGTGGCCAGTGCTCCTGGGGCACCAGGGGCTGCTCTCAGAGAGCAGGACAGCTCCAGGATCCCTCCAGCATCCTACGGGACCCACAGAGAGATGTGGAAAACCAACACTGACATCAGCCAAAGGGTCTGAGCAGGCTGCAGCCTGGCCAGGACCCTGGGGAATATGCCAGAGCCCAGAGAGATGGGGCAGGTGGGACACACCTGGGGCTGCACCCTCTTGGAGGTGCAAGGAGAAGAAAGGGCCCCTCCATGCCTGCCCAACACTAAGCTGCTGTTGCTGGCCCTGGTTGCTGCCCACAGCCCTGCTCTGCACCAGCACTGCACCATCTGCTGCCAGTTTGGGATCAGCCTGTGCAGGCAGCACAGGAATCAAGCAGCAGCTCTAACTCCATTCATGCCCCATCCCCACAGCAAAGCAGCGAGACAGACCCGTCCTGCACCTCCCACCAGCCTCAGGCATCCCCTAAGCCCTTACCTTTTCAAGTGCTCCAGCAGGAAGAGGAAGGTGATGAGGTTGGGGTCAGGCAGAGAGCGGAGAAGGTGCATCATGCAGTTCTCCTTGGCAGCAGGATCTGAGAGGGCTGGAGACAAGGAGGGAGAGGGCTCAGGACAGGGTCTGGTGCAGCAGCAGGACCCACCATGGCCAGATGCCCCCCAGCAATCAGTGCATGAGCACCGTGGAGCAGCACCACGAGCCCTGAGCTGACCTGCAGCCAGCAAGAATGAGCCAGGACCAAGAGGGTCAAGCTGGGAAGAACCCTCAGGAATCTCCCAGCCAGAGCAGGCAATGCCAAACAGAGCCACATTTGGACACCAACCCCTTCCTCCTCCCCAAGGCCTTACCAATCCCCTCCATGAAGGCGGGGTAGAGTCTGTCAGTGAGGAGGGGCTCAGGCAGCTCACGGAAGTACAGCTTCAGCGTGCCGGCGATGGCATTGATGTCCATGTCACTCAGCATGACCAGGATATCCTTGTTATCTGTCCAGAGAGCACCCACATGTGACGCCTCCTGCCCTCCTTCCCCTCTGGCTCTCATCGTTCCAGCTCTCCAGGCAGGCTGCCAGCTGGAGGGCAGGGACAGGACTGCTGGGTTCACAGCCCCTTTAGCCAGGCTGAGGCTGGGAAAAACCCAAGTGGTTCCCGCCTGGCTGGGCAACAGGACTCGGAACAATTTGCAAATCCATGTGCAACGTTTCCCTGACTCAGTGTCTCCCAGCAGCCAGCCAGGAGGGCGGCAGCTCAGAGGCATCGAGGCACAAACGAGGGCTGGGATCTCTGGGTGTTTGCTTTCCCAGTAACACCCTCCTCCTCCTCACCCCCAGCCCCTCCCCGGGCCCAGCAGCACATTTTGCACACGTGCAGTGCGATGACCAGACCCTGGGCTCGCAGGGCAGGGGGGCCTCGGTGCCTGTGAACCCTCCCACAGGGACACAGCACAAGGGGCAGATGTTCCCCCAGGACACTCACTCGCATCAAAGACAGCCTTCAGCGCCTGGATGTCAGTGGCGACGCCAGAGATCCTGTAGATGCCAACCTCCTCGATGCCCCTCTTCTCCACCTCCTCGATGCACTGGCGCACGATGTAAGGCACCTTGGAGCGCTCGCGCCTGGCTCGGGAAGCACATCCGTGAGCAAACACCCCCAGGGCACCCCAGAGGGATCAGCCCAGCCCCGCAAACCCCGGGCCAGGGGCAGGATGGGCCTGCTGGGTGGGAAGGATGGGGCTGATGAAGGGAATGGGCAAGTCCCCAGCGGAGAGCAAAAGCTGAGCTCCCCAGTGCTGGCATGAGCAACAGGGTGTAAGGACGGAGCAAGGGGACCTGCTGCAACCCCACACCCACGGGGACCAGAGCACATCAGCGCCCCCAGCCCTGCATTTACTTTGTCACGACGCTGATTTTGACCCCGAAGACACCGGTCTGCTTTTTGGACGGGGTCCTCTTCAGGCTCATGTCCCTGCTTGTGAACTTCATGGAGAACTCCACCTTGATCTGTGGGAGACAGGGGGTGAGTCCTGGCTGGCATGAAGGCACAGGGAAAGGGCTGCAATCCCAGAGAGGGGCTCCCCCAGCCCCACTTACCCCATTCATCTCAATCACATCCATGTGCCAGTTTTTCGTCTGCACAGCCTGAGGGTCCAGCTGCGGGGAGAGATGGTGTGTGAGCTCCATGGGGACACAGCCCCATGCCAGCCTGGTGTCCCCAAAAACCCTTGATCCACAGATGGTGTAGGGCACAGGACATGCTCTTCCTGGGAAAAATGCTGCTCATGACAAGAGGATGGAGAGGTTCCTCTCTGGGGTACCTTCTGGCCATGCCTTGAAGCCAGGTGGGCTCAGCCTCCCCATCCTGCCCTCCCTGGAGCCCCCGCAAGGCAGTGCTTTAATGCACACCCGAGCAGCAAGAAATTTCCAAGAAATTAGGACTATTTCTGGCGGCAGATTGATGAAACAGAACTAGGGCAGCGTTTTCCATGCAGAAAAACAACATCTCCCCATAGCCAAGGCTATTTATAACCCCTGGGAATGACAGGCTCTGCTATTTCTGGCTTTGGGGCTAGCGGGGGACTCGGTGATGCTGCCCCGGTGCCCGGCTGCCGTGGAGAGGTGCCGGCATTCCCAAGGCCCTGGCACGTGCTGTGGTGGGTTCTGGGCCCCAGGGCCGGGCAGAGGCGGGTGCAGTGGCCTTTTGGGGCTTTCTGGTCCCCAGCCGGCAGTATCGACCCAGCCCCATCGATCCCTGTAATGCACAGGGCGGGCAGCTAAGCAGAGCCCAGCACTAATGTCCCCTTGGGGAAGGGGATGGGATGTGGGAGCTGGTGGAGGGCTGGGGGCACACAGCTGCCAGGAGACACTCACACCAAGCACACGGGGTCACCCTGCAAGGACACAGGAGTTTCCCCACAGCTGCTGGGCTGGGAGATGCTCCGGGCGAGCACAAAGATGTCCAGAGCTGCTGCTCCAGCCATAGAGCTGCTGTTTCCCTGCCCATCGTGATGGGGGGGATCCTGGGGTCACTCACGTCCCTTCTGGCACACCAAGACCCCACAGTCCCAAGGACAGGCTCAAGCTGCCCTTGACTCTCCAGCACAGACCCAGCACGGTGGCATCATCCCATGTCCATCCCATGTCACGGTGAGCCCGAGCAGCTCCTCAGCGACTGCAGCGCCACAGGAAACACTGGGGTCTCCAGCAAGGCAGAAATGTTGCTGTCTCCAGCGTGGCCCAGGAATGGCTCCTGACACAGAGCCCTCCCTGGTCACAGAAGCCCAGCCCGGCACACAGAAGAGCCCAGCAAGTGCCACGCTGCTTCCTCCGTGCCAGCCCTGCGGCTGCTGGGAACGGCAGCAAGGGGAGTGGAAGGAGGAGGAGGAGGAAGGCTGCAGCTGCCCTGGGCTCCCATGGGACCCTGCAGCAGGTCTGGACACCAGGATCACGAGACTGCAGCCAGACCACTGCCAGCTCCAGCCCTGCTGCTCCAGATCCTCTGCGCACATCCGCAGCACCGGATCCCCCTGCACCCACCACGGCCAACGCCAACCCAACGCCAACTGTCCCAGGGGCTTTCAGCCCTTCTCCCCACACATCCCCATCCTGCTCACGGCAGCAGAAGCGCAGCCTCTTTGCCCCCCAGCCAGGTCAGGAGCCGTGGGCCTCCCTGCTCTGCAACGTGACTTTAACTGCAACCACCACACGCGCCTTCCCCATCCCCACGCCCCAGGTCCCTCCGGCCCCAGTGGCCCTGGGAGCTCACATCTGGAAGGGCTTTAGCAGGGCTCTGGAGAAAGCTTTAATAAAAGCCAGGTGGGCTACCACCAGTGCCTCAGACCTTACCCTGAGCACGTCACCTCCCCGCAGCCCCTTCCTCCTGGACGGGCAGAACCATCCACATCCAGCTCCCCACATGGCCAGCGTGGCCCAAATTTGGGCTACTTCTGCTGGCCCCACCAGCCTGAGCCCCCTTGCAGCTGGAGCAGGTCCCTGTGCACCCCTTGGGGCACTGTTTGTGGCCTGGCCCTGGTGCTCCTCTAACCTTTCCCCCCCAGCGCTCCACACAGCCAGCAGCACACCACGCTGCCCAATCCCCACGGGAAGCAAAGCCACGTCCAATGCTTCGTCTCCAGGCGTGGGAGGATGGATGGGAGCATCCACCCACAGAGCCAGAGGCAGCTCCTGCCCACATAGCACTGGCAAACACCCCATCTCAGCTACCACCACCATCTCCTTCTCCTCCAAAGGGAGCTGCCTTGCTCCAGCATGACGCAGGGACATCCCAGGTCAGTGGGGAACTGCTGGGCTGGGAGCCCTGGGGAGCAGCCTCTGATGCCAGGGCTGTGCAGGATGAGATGTCAGCTCCTCTAGGGCGGGTCAGATGGCTTCAAACACCAGCCTGTGCTTGGGGAAACACCTCAGCCAGGTCACCAGCACATCTCCAGGCCGCTCCCTCCTGCATCGCAGGGACTCTCAGCCATGGTGGTATCCGTGCCAAGCCAGCATCCACTGCAGTGCTGCTCTCATCCATGGTGAGGTGAAAGAACCTTTGATCCTGGCACAAGGATATGCTATTATTCCGGTTTCCCAAATTATCCAAAGGTGTTTGCTTGCAGGACAAGGCCCCAGGCTGTGGAGGAACAGGAGGCAGCATGGCAGGCGATGAACATCCCGGCAGCCCAGCAGCACTTGGTGTGTCCTGGGGAGGTTCCAGTGGCAGAGGGACCCCGGTCCTGCTGGTGCTCACCACAATGTCTGCTGCTTGTCTTGTGCATGGGGAGACTCTGGACTTGAGGAGATGAGGCCACATCTTGGAACTCTGTCCTCAAGACACTTCCAGGCTGTGGCACTGTGGATACAGTTCCTACATGGGCAGTGGCAGCCAAGACAGACCCAGGCAGTGCTGGGCCCCCAGACCTCCCAGGTAAGGAACTGGGAGGGCTCCAAACCCTCATGCTGGCTTCTCCAGGGCCCCAGGTGCCAGGATGCTGCAGCAGGGCAGGGGCTGCCAGGCTGGGCATGTCCCTTCCTCACACCTCACGCCCATGAGGTCACCCAACTGTCAGCCTGGGCTGAAGCAATCGGAAGCAAGCGGGTGACTCAGTGAGCCAGGTCATCTCTGCCACAGCCCTGGGGAGCGGGATCCCAGAGGAGCTGCTACAGCCAGCATTGCTTCCCGTCAGCGCTGCATCCATGGACACCCATGGACGCCCTGGCTCCAGCAAGCAGATCCCCCACCAGACCTCCAGGCCAGCAGCTCCCTCCTCAGGGAACAGACAGTCTCTGAGCCGACCGGTGCTGTGGGGCAGAGCAGCTGCCAGTGGCAAAGCAGAGCCCCCCCAAAAAGCAGCGACTCACAGCCCCGCTGAGAGTGACCTGCGAAGCAGCAGCGCCCGCGGCACATCAGGAGCATACCGGGGTCACATCCTGCTCTGCAGCCCCAGCACTCCTGGGCAGCAGCCGGCAGGGAAGCCAGCGGCCACAGCGGGGATGGCTGGGGTTGAGAAACTAAACCCCTTCTTGTTTTGACCCAGCAACAGCCGGCAGCAGCCCCTGGGCAGCCTCCCCACCAGCCCTCGCTGCCCCTTAATCCCCTCTGCGGGAGCAGCGGCACAGAATCGAGGTTAATGCCGCTGCGTCACAGGCGGCCCCGCTGCTGCCAAACCGAACCCCCAGGGGCCTGGGCAGCCCCTGCCCGTGGTCACAGCTGAGCCCTGGGCCAGCAGCTCCCTGCACAGGGGGTACCCCACACAGGGAACCCCCCAGGCATTCCCATGGGGATTTTGGGACGGCCTGTGAGGGTGCTGTCCCCTCCCCTGCCCACCCCTGCCCTCTGTCCTCCCACAAAGACGGGCAGCACTGGCTGATGTGGCTGCGACACAGCTGCGAGCAGGGGGAAGCCTGGACGGACCCGGGAGGAGGGTTTGCAAACCAAGGAAGAGGGGATACACATGCACTGGGTGCTGTAGCACCCCAGGAGGCCACCCCTGGTGAGCCCACAAACATCTCTACCTCCTGGGCAAGCCCTGGGGCTGAGCAGGGGGGCTCCCTGCCCTTCATCTGCAGGACCCCCCGTGTAAACAGCTCAGCTCTCCCAGCTCCCCAGCACACAGAGGGAGAGGGAAGGAGGAAAACAAGCACCTCACAGGCTGCCAACTACACCTAAGAGCTCCCAAAGCACCCAAACAGCTCCGTGCATGGACCACACAGCACTCAGCTCTCCCCACAAGCCCCCCCGGCTGAGCCCCTCACCCCACAAAACTGCCCACCAAAAAGCCACGCACAGCAGAGCCCAGCGACACCCGGAGCCCACCACCGTCCCCTCCAGCCATTCCCCCCTTTTCCCCGCCCGAGAAGCACCTTCTGCCGGAGCAGTTTGCTGCGCACTCTGCCCCAGAGGCGGGCGCCCGTGTTGGGGGGTCGCTTCCCCTCGGGCTCCTCCACGCCGCGCTCCGGCTGCTCGCCCACGGGGCCGGGGCTGCCCTCGGGCTGCACCAGCACCTCCGTCATCGCGATTCGGCTCCGGGCAGGCGAGACGAGCGTGGCCGGGAAGGGTGCCCGGGGCTGGGTTAGGAGAGCACCCGCATCCTTCCTGCTGCGGGGGGAGGTCAGCGGGGGCCGGCGAGGGGAGCCCGGCTGGGGCGGCGGGGAGGCGAGCGGGCAGGGCTCATCTTCAGGGTGTGCGAGCCAGGCTGTCGAGGCAGCTCGGCAGCCCCAAAAGCCTCCCTCCCCCTGCGAGGAAGTGACTCAAAGGCAGCCCCCCCTCCCCCGCGGCGGCCCCCACGCGTTTAACTCTCGCCCTGCCGCCCGCCGCCGCTCGGCAAGGCTGGGGGGTTGCCCGGGCTCCCCGCCGCCCTTATCCCTCGTTATCCGCTGTTATCCCTTCCCTGTTATCTGCCTCGCAGCGCCAGCGGCAGCCGCGGCCCCGGAGGCGTCGCCGCTGGTGGCTGCAGCATTCCCAGCTCCGAGAAGGAGCCAGGCTGGCTCTCCTGCTCCCAGTAAGTGGCACAGGGAGGGGACTTTTGGGGTCTCCTGTCAGGCCTAGGGACAGGTGGGGACCCACCGTGGCCCCCCAGAGTACCCAGGCCCTTGTCAGCCCCACTGCCAGGGGGTGATGTGGGCAGGGGGATGGAAAACCTGAAGAGTTCCTGCCTGCTGCTTCTCCTGACTGGCAGGGATATGGGGAGGTGCAGGCTTGGAGGGGACTTGCACTGCCCCCCAGTTCATCCCTCAGCAGCCCCAGGAGTCCATATGGGTCATCCCTGCAGGTCTGGGGAGCCCCAACACCACAAATCTCCCCCTCCAGAGCCTCCGCCAGCGGCAGACAGACAGACAGGCAGCAATTCCCTGAGGGTACAGCAGGCACCGTGCCCATGACAACACAGACTCTGCTCCAACAGCCACATCTCCCTGTGCATCAAACGGGCTGAGGAAAGGGCTGCCCCATCCTGCCCCATCACCCTGAGACCCCCTTCAGGCGCCCACTGCCCACCTCCTCACATGCCCCAGCCTCTCTCCTCTGCAGTATGGGCACAAGCACTCACAGCCTGCTTTGCCCACCCCAACATCTGTCTGCCACCCTGCCACAGCACCACACACCCCTGCCAGCACCCACCAGACACAGCCCAGCTGCTGGGAGCGCCTGGGACAGCTCAGAGCAGGGCTGAGCCCTGCAGCACAGGGGACTCAAGCCCACCACAGCAGCTCTGCCTCGACCACAGCACGCTCCAGCCTTAGAAACCCCAAACAAAATGGGGTTAACAACATCTAAACAGGGTTAATGCTAACCAGGAGTCAGACCTTTCCACTCTACAGCCAGTGGCACAGCACAGGGTGCCCACCCTCCACCAGCAACAGGGACAAGGCTCAGGGTGGGAGTCCAAGGCTCACCATGCTGCAGATCCCTCAGGGTGCATTGCCAGGATGCTTGAAAGGAGGTTGGTGCCAACCCCAGCCTCTCCATGGACCCAGCCATGTCCTCTCTGCTGGCAGGGCGTGACTCCCACCCCATGGCATCTCTGCAGCCTCAGGAGGCCCCCACTGCCCACACAGAGGGGCTGCAGCAACCCCCTCACACACTGACCCATTCCCACCAGTCCATGGTGCTCATAAGCTGCTTTTGTGACCAACCCATGAGCCTGGGTGGCCAGATTAGAACTGGGCAGTGGGCACAGAGCTGGCTGCTGGGGGAGTTTGGCCGTCCTGGCAGCCCCCAAAACACCCTGGACCTTTGCTGAGCTGCTGATGCCAGTGCTGGTATCCAGAACCAGCAGCAGCTCATGATGAGCCCAGAGACCAGCCAGGGTAAGGACCATCCAGGGCAGCATCTCTGCCTGAACAGCTCAGGTAGAGGGCAGGAGGGCAGCACTGGGGCTTGACTACAACCCACAGCTCCACAACCCATCCTGCCCTGTCCCTGTCCTGGCACTCACCCCACCCCTGGGGCAGAAACCACGCTGTGGCTCTGGGTGACGGCAGCACAGCCCCAACCCTGAGACTGCTCCGTCCTGTCCAGCCAGGCCCTCCTCAGGATAAGCAGCCCCAGGACCTTCTCTCTCTCCGTTCCTTCCCCCACAACTTTTGCACAGCGGGTACGAGCTGTGCTGTCCCTGTCCCGACCCCCGCATCTCCCAGCATGACTCATGTTTGTTGATCCAGGCTATTTCCGAGAGCGCAGCTGGACTGATCCCCGCGGGACATTGAGCCCCTTCCCTGCCCTGGCCCTCCTGCTTGGCCCAGTGCCACCCCCACACCACTTGTTTCCCGGGGAGAGGGCGACAGACGGGTGATTTCAGGTAAGAACAAGTCTGCTGGTGAAGCCAAGCCCCCCTCTGCCACCCTGCTGGTGCTGTCCCCCACAATGTCCCCTTCCCAGCAGCGTTTCCATGCTGCTCCCCACTCCCCTGGGACCTGCCCTCAGTAGCTTTCCCACGGAGCAGGCAGCCACACTGGGCCCTTTGAAGCGGCCTGGGGTTGAAGGCTGCGTCCCAGGCGTGACACTGTCCCCAGCACAGCTGGGAAGGCAGCCAGCCCAGGGGTCCCCACCAGGAAAACACAGGGGCACCCCCATCCCAAACCATCCTCTGCTGCCCTGGGCATCCCTGCAGCCTGGCCAAGGTGGGTGCTGGGGGCTGAGGGGTCTGGGGGCTGCCTGCCCCTTGCTCTGTCCTCCCAGACCTGCTCACCTGGGAGCATCTCAGGGCAGCCCAGGCCTCCATCTTTCCCTGCCTGGCAACCACCAATCAGAAGCAGCTCAGTCGTTGCCCTGGAAACCCCGTTGCTATAACAGCAGCTGATGGAGGCACAGGGAAGGCAGATGGTGGCAGAGGGGAACAGGGGAGGGATGGGGGGCTGCACGCTCAGAGCCCTCCCTGGGGCAGCTGCCAACCCCCTTTCCACAGCCCCCGGGGCCGCAGCACACGAGGCAGTGGAATGGAAACACTTCCAGCCCAGCTGGGACTGGATGCACATCTTGGGGGGCAGGTCTGGCTTTGCCAGCCTCTGCAGGACCCCCTCTCACTTTGTTCAACCTCCTCCTGCAGCCACTGTGCCCCAGGACCATCATCCACACCCCTGAAGCCCACCAACCTCACTGCCTTCATCCCCACAATCCCTGTACCCCATTCCCAAAAGCGGAGCTGCCTGTCCACACCGCCAGGCATAACTCGCTCATCCCAGGCATAACTCCAGAGCAGCCCTCCCAGCTCAGGTGCCTGGCCTCAAGAGGTTCACTGCTGGGCAAGAAAATGCCCCAAAGCCCCAGCACATACCTGGATCTGCCCCTTGCCCATGATCTTGTCCACAATTTCATTGTTGTCCTTGTTGAGTTTGGTCTTGTCGTAGCACTTCTCGTAGCAGAGGATGCGCAGGGACTGGGAGCCCTCCAGCTCGATCTCAAACTCCTGGGGTGCAGAGCGAGGGTGGCTCAACCCCAGCACCCCAGAGCAGCTCCAAACCTGGGGTTGAAGGGAAATGGGGAGCGCAGCCCCCTGGCTGCATCCCACCCTCCCTCACCTCGTTCCACTGCGGCTCCGTGGTGTCCCGGAAAACCCTGGTCTTGGCTTTGCTGACAAAGTAGCCGAAGGAGTCCACCTCCAGCGTGCAGTAAAGGTCTGGGGGAGCAGACACCGCTCAGCACCCAAGGAACATCCCCACCAGCTCCCCGGGGACCACAGAGCGGGGCCAAGTGCTGGACCCCAACCCTTCTGATCGCACCGGCCCCTCGGAGCAGGGGGGCACCCACACTTACTGGCAGACTGCTTGAAGCCCTTGGCAGAGTGGACAATGACGTGCAGGAACCCGTAGAGCCCAGGGGACTCATCATCTGTGACGAGAGAGCAGAGGCTGTGTCAGGGCTCAGCTGACACCTCCTGTGCCCCAGGGCTGTCCCCGAGGCAGCCTTGGCCACAGGAGGCAATGGGTGCCTGCAGGGACATCCAAATGTCCCCAACCCCCTTGAGAGCTGTCCCTAAGTTCTGTATGCCCTGCTGACATCCCAAGCTCTCCGCTGCAGGACAGGCCTTGGGGAGGTTCCCAGTAGTGCTGGCTGGGTCTCACCCTGCCCAGCCCACTGGGGTTCTGGAGAGACCCCAAAAGCAGCCTCGTGCTGCAGCTGGGATGGCTCTGCCTGGGAACCCGACGCTGCTCCAGCAGTGCCACCTGGTGGGAAGCTGTCCCCTGCACAGCAGGGACCCAGTGAACACTCACCATCCTTGTTGCTGGTGACCGGGATGTTGTGGACAGTGCGTAGCTTGAAGCAGGATCCTGTGAGCACCTGGAGCTCCACCGAGCTCAGGACAAAGGCCTGGAGGTCTGTGAGAGGACAGGAGAGGAGCTTCAGAGGTATGCAGACAGTGTTGGCCATGGGAACTGGCAAGCAGCAGACTGGGATCCTGTGGGACCTCCCTGTGGCCCCTGGTGGGGCCAGGAAGCCCCAAACTTACCCTTCTTCTGCAGTTTCTGGATGGCCTCCCTCCACTCGGACCGCTCGTAGTCAGAGGACAGCAGGAAGAGGTAGCTCTGTAAGAGAGAGGGGGATGTGACAGGCTGTCTGCAGGTAGGGCTGAGCCCAGCCCCCAGCCCACCCTCCTCACCTTCCCGTTGCGGTTGTGGATGCGGAAGGGGATGGCGGGCGAGTTGAGGAGCAGCCAGAATTCGTTCTCAAACATCTTCTTCTTGAGGCGCTCGATGGCCCGGCTCTGCCCTTTGTTGGCTTTCTGCAGACGGGGAGCAGAGAGAGCTTTGTCCCATCCCTGACCCCGAGGAAGGCAACCCACCCCAGCAGCAGCCTCCCACACCCTGCTCTCACCTCCTTCTGCACCTCGCTCTTGATGGCCGAGATCTTCATCTTCATGTCCTCCAGCTCGTGGTCAGGGATGACATGGACCTGCGGGCAGTGCTCCGACTCCTCCGGCGAGGGGAACACCAGGTCGGCCAGGGGCACGTACCACTTGCAGTCGTACTGCTGGTGCTTCCTGCGGACAGGGCACGGATGCTGAGTGATGCCTGACCCTCTCCCTGGCACATCCTCCAGCCCTCCGGAGGACAGAGGACTGTGACACATTCCCCCCGTGCCCAGCACTCTCCTTACCCCACAGCTGTCTTCTTCAGCTTGGCGCAGAGCAGCACGTCGGTGAAGAGGAAGACGTGGCGCAGCTTCCGCGAGCCCTCCGACAGCTCCACCAAGAAGCCATCCTTGACAAGCTGCCGGGTCTGTGGGGAAGTGGGGCTGCTCTGAGAGCGGGCAGAGAGCAAAGGGCAACCAACTGGGGGAGTGGGTGCTCCTGTCCCTCTCCATGGCTCAGCCACCAGGTGTACAGGAAGGTTCGTGTCCTCTGCGTGCTATTTTGAGTCAACAGGATGCCCAGCAAGCAGCAAGGACCAGGTAGAGCCCTAACACTGTGCCCAGATCTGCTCTAGGGGTCTAGAGGAACCCCTCCATCTCCTGGCCAAGCACCATGATGCTCCCCAGGGTGGAGACACCAGCCAGGGGCTGGCAGAGGGTTCAGCCCTCACCCTGTGCCCTGCCACTGCCCACCCCACTGGCTCACCTCGCCCTTGGGGGTGGTGACCGCTGTCCTCCGGGGATCGATGTCCTCATTGATGCTGGACAGGAAGTTCTGTGAGATGCGGAGGGCGTCCTGGAGCAGAGGGTAGTCAGGGTGGTCGGCTGGAGTGTGCTTGAGGAGGTCCTGGAAGAGGACAGGCACAGGTGAGCAGCTGGAGAGCACCCACCCTGGAGAACTCCCATCAGCACTCCCCATGGCTGCACATCCCCTGGAACAACAGAGGCAGAGCCTCCCACCAACCCCTGTACCCCAGGACTGGTGTCACACTCACGTGCAGGACGAGGGTGCTCCGTGTCACCCGGTCGATGGGTTTGTACAGCAGAGCTGAGGGGAGAGAGAAGGTGTCAGCAGCCACTCCTTCTGGAGCCCTGGCCCATCTCCCACCCTGGTCTGCACAGAGCCCTGGGTGAGCACCGGGGATCCATTCTGCACAGAGCCAGCAGCAGCTGGACCACCATGTCAGTGACAGGGACAGTGGTTAGCCACCAGTGCCACAGCCCCGCTCCCTGCTGCGCTGGGGGCACGGGGAACCACGCCAGGCTGCTGTGTGGTCACAGCCACGGTGACACCGCTCCACCCTGACTGCTGGATGGGATGTCCCACCACAGCTGTGCCAGCACACCCCCCCTCCCGTGGCAAAGGATGTCCTCGTGCACAGTGAACCAACACTGGCGGTGGCTGTGGAGCGGAAGAGCTGCTCGTCACCCACAGCAGCTTTTTCAGTTTCCTTTTGGCTCAGCAGTGGGCCCTGTCCCTGCTCTGCCACCCCATGGAACGCCCTGTATCCACCACCCCAGCGGGCCCTGGGTGCTGGGGGAACCCAGGCTGCTCCAGCAGCAGCAAAACCCCCACCTACAGAGAATGCCTGGGCCAAGGCATCATCCCAATGCCACTGCCCTGTGTCCCCTCCCCACAGCCTCCCATGACTGCATGTGAGGCTCCATCTGGGGCAGGGCAGCAGAGCTGCCTCAAACGTGGGGCACAGACACCCCCTTTCTCCTGCCATGCACCCTCCCCACAGGAGGCTCTTCAGAGGCACATTTCACTGGAAGCAGCCAGACCCTCCTCCTCCCTCCTGGCTCTCTGGGCAGGCAAAGGCACAGATCCCACTCACAGGGCTGTTCCCCATGCCTGGCCACTGCTGTGTTTCCCCAGGCTGGTTCCAGACAGGCTGATGCCTCTGGGTTTTCCCTTCACTTTGGAGCACTTCCCCAAACTGCCAGTGCCAAGAGGGGCCAGGTTTCGGGCTCATGGGAGAGGAAGAAAAGCTGCCATCTCCTCACCCTGTGCTGGGTTGTGGGGGAGATCCCATCCCCTTTACAACAGAGGGTGCTGCCTTGTGGTGCCCAAACCTGAGAGAGGGACCCCCATCCTGGTGAACTGGGGGTCTCTGCTCAGGAGGTGAGGATGCCAACCTGGACCCCAAACAGAGGCTGCATCGCCCACAACTCCATGCCAGCGGGCAAAGCCAGAGCCCCACTCCCTGCAACAGCCAGCGAGAATCCTGCTCTGGGATAGAGGGGTCAGGCAGGGTGTCCCCCCTTTTTCACCACCCTACACCCCCGGTAGGATGGACCCTCACGCTGCGTTTTCTACAGACACATTCAAAGCACTGGAGGGCACTGGGAGAGGCTGAGCCGGCACAGTCCCGCCAGCCTGGGACCCAGACGCAGGCAGCAGCAGTCAGGGATGCCCCGTGCCTCTCCTCCCAGCCACGGAGAGATGGACATTCCAGCCCCACGACGCTCACAGCCTCCGGCAGGCAAATGGGGACCCCTCCCTACCCCCATCTGCACGGCACAGCTCAGACATGGGGGGTCCCCCAGCCCAGGATCCCCCCCCGCCCATCCAAGCTCCTCTATCCCGCTGCCGGCACGAGCCCCTGCCCGGCGGGCACGGCGAGCGCGTGGCCGCGTGTGCCGGAGCCAAGATGATTCAATCCAGCCTGGAACAAAGACGCTCCCAACTTCAGGCTGCAGAGCACGACGCAGCTTCCACACCCCCCAACCCCCGGCCCCCGCCCGGGCAAGCACAGCCAGCCCCGGGCCAGCATCCCCTCAGCATCGCTCCCTCACCGGCACCCCCCAATTCGGAGCCGCCCCCCCTCGCCTCACCGTAGGTGCAGTTACAGCAGAGCCGGACAATGACGAGGATTTCCATGGCAGCCCCGTCTCGGCGCGGCCATCGCTGCCGCCCCGCAGCAGCTCAGCCCGGCTGCGGCACAGCATCGGCCCCTCCGCACGGCTCTGGGCACGGCCGGCGGGCGGGGAGGAGGGGTGGGCAGGGGGTGGGGGGCTGCTGCACGCCCACAGCATCCTAAAGAGCTGCGACACCCACCACCCCCCCGCCCTTCTCGCCGGCTCCGCACACGGGCACACAAAGGGGGAGCGGCTCGGTAATTCCTGCTCGGTAATTCCTGCTCTGTAATTCATCCCCGCCGGTCCCGCGGGCGGACAAAAGGCTGCGTCCCCCTCCCCGCGCCCGCCGTACCCTCCATGGTGACGGACGTGTGGCTCTCCTTCGAGTCCTTGGGGCCCTTCACCTTCAGCTCCTAGGGAAGGAAAGGGCCATCAGTGCAGCCCGCAGGGGGCTGGGGGAAAAGTCATTGCTCAAGATCATGGGGTCCCCCCCCAACCCTTTCTGCACCCTGATATCTCCCCCCGGCCCCAGCCTGGTCACGCTGGAGGTCACACGTGGGTGCTGGGTGGAGGTGTGGGCTGTACAGGATACTGCCTGGCTGGGAGCAGCTCTGGCTGTGCCCCACAGTTGGGACATGGTGGTGATCCCACCGAGATGAACAGCTCTGCTGCAGAGGGGCTGGAGAGAGCAGGGAGCTCCAGCTACAACCACAGAGGTCTCTGTTCCTATAGGGGAGCCAGGCATGGAGATGCAGCCAGCAGGAGACAGGAGATGAGCCACAGGTGCCCATCACCCACGGTCACTGGATGGGATGAGCTGGTGCAGGCTGCCCTGGCACCCCTGACATGGTGACAGCAAGGGCTGAGCCCAACCTGAGCTTGCACAAGGTGAGGGACAAACTCCTGCAATGCCCAGAGACCACAAGCCCCCAGGGACAGCATTCTCTGCCCTGTGCTGGGACAGCCTGGGGAACAGTCTTGTCCCACTGGCACAGCCCTATCCCAGCTTACCTCCGAGATCTTCTGGAACTGGTAGTTGCTCTGGCTGCACTTCTCTGCTGTCTCCAGGGCGATTTTGTAGTTATCCACAAAGGCCTTGTAGACACCCAGCTGGCTGGCCTGCGGGGAGGGGGGGTTAGCCGGGCACCCAGCAGGATGCTGAAGCCCCCCTGCAGCACAAGGAGCCTGGCAACCCCTGAGGGGGCTCTGCCCAGAGTTGTCCCCTCCTGGCAGGACACTGCCACACCACAGCCATCTGGGCAGCCACACATTTTGCTCTGCAGGGAAAGCTCTTGCCCAGCGCAGGATGGTGGGGCTCCTGTCCAGTCCTGTGCCCCCACAAAGCTCCAAAATCCAACAGAGAGATAACAAGTGCCTAGAGAGCGGAAGCTGAAGCTTTAACTGCTTCCTAGCGCCCTTCAACCCGCCCTCTCCTCAGCCTCTCCCCAGCATGGCCACAGCACCCACAGGTGCAGCCCATGCTCCCATTGTACATCCAAAGCAGCAGCAGGACCCGGCCCTCCTTCTCTTCCAAGTGGAGCAAGACCTGAGGAAGGTGCATACCAGCTTCTGGAAGAGGTGGCCCATGGTGACATTGCTGTCCCACTGCTGCACCTTTGGGCACAGGCTGTCGTAGAACTCCTTGTGGATCTCATAGATGTCCTGGATCTTGTAGAAAATCGTCTCGATCTGCTGCAGGGTCAGGACAGGCTGCGACGTGGTGGCCGTGGCCTTCAGCGGCTTCATGGGCTGCCAACGGAGAAGGGAGAGCATTTGAGATGAGGGCTGGGAAGGGAACACTGGGGATGAGGAGGATCTGAGCCAGCAGCAAGGGCTGCCCAGGACAGGTCCCAGCCAGCAGCTGCACCAAGGGGCACTCTGGGCTTCTGCATCCCCGCAGACTTCCCTGTGGTGGTGACCCCGCATTGTGCAGCAGTGTCTCGGCCATGAAGGTCAGCAAGTCCACAAGAGGAAGCAGGGCTATAAATACCTCCCCCATGGGCTATGGGGAAGGCAAGATGGGCAGCCAGGCCAGCAAGGCTGGCTCCAGTGTGGCTCCTGAAGCTTTGCCCCCACCCAGGCATCACCCAGGCCAGACCTGCCTGGGGGAAGCTGTCCAGGAAGAAATTACTCCCTCTCTCCATTCATCCATCCATCCATCCATCCCCCATCCCTGCCAAGGGCCATCCCTGGAGGGGCTGTGCTCACCAACAAGAGGGCCTCCAGCTGGTTGATGTAGATCTCCTCACTGGCCAGGAAACCCGAGAGCACCAGCTTCCGCATCTCCAGGCCTTTGCCAGCCTCTCGCTCGCCCTACGGAACACAGCAAGGAGCCTGGCTGAGCAAGTGGCATGCAAGGAGACACCCCATCCCACCAGCCCATCCCTGGCATCCCCCCCTGGGCACACATCCCTGCCAGTGCTAGGAAAGCTCCGTGGCAAGGTCCGGGCATGTGCCCGAGGGGCAGCAGAGCCCAGCTGGAGCCAGCTGGGAAGCCACGAGCTGTGCTGGCTCCTCTCCCCTCCCTGCTCCTGGCTGGCCAGGAGCCCGGCGCCGCTGGCAGCGCTCCAGGATGGCGCACGGCATGGCAGGACTCTCCCAGGGCAGAGTCCAGAGACGCCCAGTGAAATCATGCTTGGCGTGGATGGTGCTGCCACGTGATCCGGCACCACCCTTTCCCTCGGCTGAGGTTTTCCCGGGAACGTGCCACCCCAGCAGTCACTGCCTGGTGGCACTGGGGCAGTTCCCAGCGTCCAGGTCTGTTGCAGCACTGATGCTGGCACGACCCTCGTGGCAGGGAGATGGCTGGCCTGTGACCCTCAGTGAGGCTCTCCCAGCGTCCAGACATGGGTGCCCCAGCCCCTGAACCATCCTGTCATGCTTTAGCTTCCCCCCTCTTTAAAAATTACACTTGGGGACCAGGTTTTTGCCACCCAGACAGAGGCCAAGCACAGCCATGGTGGGGGGCATCAGTCACTCTGGGCCATCAGCCATTGAGGATGGTTTGGGGAGGACATTGGTCCTGCCTCACCTCTGCCCACACCAGCCCTGGCTGTTGAGCCAGCAGAGGTGACAGCTGCAAACCCCCAAAGGGCACAGCCCCAAAGTGGGCATGGCTGTGAAGCAGCACCTCCCTGTCCCACTCTTAGCATCCATCAGCTTGCCCTGGGGGCTGCTGTGCCAACCAGGGTGCCCAACCTGCCAGGCTGCACCATTAAGGCTGGGCTGTGGTGACTGGGGTGGCAGGAGGGTGCACAGGGCAGCCACTTTTATTCACTGGGAGTTCGTGGGCTCTTTGCCACCGATTAGTCACGGGCTCTTCCTGCTTCCCCCAGCCTGGGCCCTGCGGAGGAGCTCAGGAGATAAGGGGCCCACCCACGCCCGGGGCCCACAGCTCCCCACGAGGACGATGCCAACTGGACCCCCGTGACCCAGAGGAGCAACCCTTAATCTGGGTCCCGTGGCTGCCCTGTTCAGGAGACCCCAGGGAGAGCAGGGGCAGAGCCCTCCTCCAGCACCCAGGCACCCCTGGCAGGGTGAGCACGAGAAGGGTGCTGGGCTGCACCTGCCAGCACAGGGGTCCCCCCAGCTCTAGGGTTTGGGACGGTTTAGGAGCTGCTGGTGGCTGTGTGGTGGGGCAGAGTGTTAAGCAGCCCCTTCCGGAGCATCCAGTGCTGGCTCTGCTGAGCCACACAGCCCCCCCAGCAGCATGCTTGGCCCTACTCCCCCCTAAGAAGAGGACTGGTTGGTCACCCTGCTCTGAGCCCTTCACACCCGATGCCTGGCACAGCCCTGCCCCGTGCCCCTGGCCACAGGCAGTCCTGGGGGAGTGGTGGGGCTGCAGGAATGCTCCTGCTGCCCCCCAGCTCTGCCCTCCACCAGCACCCGCCGCATCGACCCAGGAGCTGCCCCCTCACCTGGGCATCACCAGCCCCAGCAAGATGCCCCCTGTCCCCCCACCCCCTGCCCAGCATGGGAGCAGGGTGCCCCCGCCGCCCACCTTCTCTCCGGCCGAAAACGGAGACCCAGGGCTGGTGGGGGTTCCTGGCTCAGAGTCATCTTCATCCTCCAGCACTTTATCCAGGTACCCTATGGCCTCCTCTTCCTCCTCCATGGCCGGGCGGGCAGCGGGGGAGCAGAGGGGACCCCACAAGGCTCCGGGCAAAGGGGCTCACACGGCTGAGCTGTCCCAGCCTGACTCAGCTCTGGACGCCGGCCACCACCGCGGGATGAAAGGAACCATTATGGGATTCCCCGGTGCTCCCGCCTGCCCCGAGCTCCGGCCCGGCCTTCGGTCCGCGGGGTCCCGGCCGCTCCCGGGGCGGCCTCTCAGCCACCTCCGAGCGGCGGCAGCGGCACCTCCGGGCTCGGCAGCGGCGCGGCCTGAGGGCCAGCCCGGCTGTCCGCCGGACTCCGCTCGGCCCCGGGGGGCCGCCGGCGGTGGAGGGGCCGCTGCCCGGCGCTCCGAGCCCCAGCCGGCCCCAGCTCCGCCCTGCTCGCTACAGGAAATGCATCTCTCTCGGCGCTGGAGGTGGGGCTGCTCCGCCGCCGGAGTGTGGTCAAGGCTGGGGCGCGCAGAGCAGCCGCCTTCCCCGGCGCTGGCACAGCCTGGCGTGAACAGCATGGGGAGGGGTCCCTGCCCCCTGCCAGGCCCCTCGCCCGGCAGTGCGAGAGCACCGTCCCGCCTGCTGCGGGCCCCTGGATCCCTTCCTTGGATCCCGGCAGAGAGACGGACCATGGGGATTGCCACCAGCGAGAAGGGATCTTGGAGGGCAGCAGCATCACCAGGTCCCACAGGGGGACCTGACTCTGCACCCCTAGGAAGTACCAGACCTCTCCCAGCCCAGAGGGGATGTGGGGCAGGGTCATGCAGCTGAGCCACCTGCCTTCCCACATATCTGCCCCACATCCCACACAGATCAGCGCTGGCACCTCCCTGCTGCTCCAGCCTCACCACAAGGGCCAGTTGGGACGTGGGGACACCAGCAGTGGTGTGACACTTCTGAGGGACACTGTGGGCCTTGGCAAATGAGGCAAGATCAGGCTGGAGAAGGGGACACCAACACAAGAGCTATTTCAGCAGCTTTCTCCCTGCTCCTCAGAAGCAAAAGGGGAACCTGTGGCCGCATGTGCTCTGCCCACAGGAGCCATCTCTCCTGCCTGCACCCATCTGAGCCTGGAACAAACTCCTGCTGTGAGAAGTGGGCAGGAATACAGACACAGGGACTTTCCAGAGCCTGTGTCCAACCCTGTATCCATGACACAGCTCAGGCTTTGCCCAGACTTTGCTAAGAGGGAACTGTGCCAGGAAAACATGACCCTGCCTGCCACAGCTGGGTCCCCAGAGCGGGGAATGGTCCCTGTCCTGGGAAACGCTACCCACAGTGCCAAACCCAGCAGCACCCAAAGAAGGGCTGGGGCAACACCCAACACCGTGACCATGGCACCTGTGTTTCCCAGGTGGGAGAGGAAGGGTCAAGATGTGTCTGCACCCAGCAGTCACAGGCCCAAATGTGGCCACAGCTGCCCCAGGAGCATGCAAGATGAGATGCCCCACCAGAAACCTCCTCCAGCCCTCTCAAAGGCAGTGACACCAGTCCTGCCTCACCACAGAAGAGCTACAGGGTGAACCTGGCACCCTGTGCCACCAGCCACAGCAGGACCCCCATGAAACCCTGTGCCCCTTGCAGGGCTGGACACACAAGGACAGAATTTGGAGGGTGCTCTTGCACAGGCAGCTCTAGAGATGGAGGCAGAGCCAGCACTGAGCTCCAACGCTTCCCAGTCCTGTTAGTGGCAACCAAGTCATCATCCCTGCCTGTACCCAGACCCAGTGTGCCCCACCATCCCTGAGGTCATCCCTGTGCCAGCATCTCCCCTCCATCCCTGCTCCCCTGCTATCCCTGATGGTGCTGATGACAGAGCCCAGAGCTCACAGACCTGGCACCAGAGTGTCAGGGCTGGGGCTTGAAGGGCTCTGCCGAAGGACAAGATATCCTAAGACTGAGTTTGGAGCCAGCCCCGGGAGAGGGTCCCTCCCACAGCGGCAAAGGGCAGGACCCCCCTGTCCCTCCCCTGGGGCCGTCCAGAGCGCTGGGTGCCTGCAGGAGGATGCTGCTCAGGGAGACCCAGGGGAGGAAGCCACACCTCTCCCTCTTTTGCCTCAGCATCCGGGTCAGGAGCTTAACTCTTTCCATGACAAAAAAACCCTTCGTTTTTACTTTTCCCAGCCCAGGCAGTGGCAGCACTGAGGGATCCCCCAGCCTGGGGCCAGGCAGTCGCTCCCTGCACCAGCCCTGCAAGGCCAAGGCCAAGGCCTGCCTGGACCCCACTGCTCCTGGGCTTTATGGAAGCTTTTATTCTGGAAAAAACCCGAAACCCCCTTTTTTCCCTTTGCAGCTCTTCAGGCATCCCTCCTGTGAAACACCCTGGGAAACCCAAGGACCTCGCGGGGATGCACTCAGAAGAGCAGGGGTTAAATCTAAGTTCTCCAGAGAGGGGGGGCGCTTTGTGTCCCCCTTCCCCCCCTCGGACTGGTGACTGGGTCCCCGAGTGCCGCTAGATGGAGCCGGCAGCCTGGTGGAGCGACTGTGCCCTGTCCCCAAGGGCTCCGGGAGCTGGGGACACCGGGAACCCCCCGATTCCGGCACGCCCAGGGACCCCTCTCTCTGTTCAGCCCCTGCCCTTCCAGCTCTGCCACCAGCGTGGCACGGCGGGGCAGGGAACACAGCGTGTCCCACAGGCACAGCATCCCCGGAACTGCTGCTCCCCAAACTGCCACGGCCAGCAGGTTTTAGGACGCCAGGGATAGTCCCCAAGGTCACAGCAGCACCAGAGTACCACTGACACACCGAGCTGGACACCCACAGCCCCCAACACGCCCCTCAACCAGCGCAGAGCTCCGCGCCCCGGGCACCTACCCCTGTGCTGAGGCCGTCGGTGGGTGTGGGTGAGACACCGTCCCCGCTCTCCTGGCCGCGGGCGCTGAGCTGGGGGGACATGGTGGGCGACTCGTCGATGTAGGGCATGGTTTCCGAGCCCTCTGGCAGCGCCTTGGGCTCCTCGTTGCCCTCGGCGTCGTACTCGTCCGCGCCATAGTTGAAGTCTGGCAGGGTAAGAGAGGGTGGCCGTGAGCGTCCAGGCACTGGCACGGCCGAGGGTCACCACAACCACCCCCGCCTGTGGTCACCTGCGGGCAGCTGACCCTATGTCCCACACCCAGGGCCACGTACAGACACCCATACCCACAGCCCAGCCCAGCCCTGCTGTGTGCTCAGCCGAGCAGGCAGGGCATCGCATCACAGGGAGCATCCCTGCCCTGCAGGCATCCTCTGCTCGACACACTTCCCTATATTTGAATAATTAACGGAACCGAGAGGCCCAGGGCCTCTCTGTGCAGGGACAGCTGCTCTGCCAGACGCTCCAGCCCCATGCAAGCAGCTCTGCCCTCCCTGCCTGCCCACTGGCCACCACCCCCGTGCCATCCCTGGGCAGGGATGGAGCTGGGCTGGCAGCCACAGCCGCCATCCTCTCTGCTTCCCCGTGCCCACACTCCTCAGAGCGTGGGAATGGATGCCAGGACGCCTGGATCTGCAGCACGGAGGACAGAGCCACCCCCCTGGAAGAAGTGTGATGGTGGCAGCTCTATAGAGGGTGGGCAGCTCGGCCCATGATGGGGGACCAAAGGGGGCTGCTTTCCCCAGCGCAGGATGAGGCCCCCAGCATGCCAGGACAGCACCCATTTTTGGATACCCTATGCTGACCCACAACCCCACCACCACCCACAGACCAGGGGAAGCCAATCTGGGGAGCCAGAGCCCCAGGGGGTAGTGGGGTGGCTCCAGGGTCTGCGGTGGGTCCCTGGGGCGCAGCAGGGACCGGGGTACATCCTAACCTGTTACCATGGGAACGGCAGCGGCTCGGTGGCAGCGGGAAGAGGTGGCTGCAGCAGCCCCGAGATGCTGACAAAGGGGAGGGGGAAGGGAGCCTGGCTGCGGCAGGGGTGGCTGTGGGGTGCAGCCAGCACCCCCACCCTGAGCTGCAGCCAAGACCCCCTCAGCGTCCCCCAAAGAGGCAGGGGATGTGGCTCAGCCAACACAACCCCCATCCCACAATCCCCTCCCACCCAGCAACCCCGTGGATCTCTAGACCACACATCCCCACAGGCTTCCTGGGCACAGACAGCAGGGAGACCCCAGCTAAGACCCTGGCTGAAAACCTGGCCAAAACAGGGTGCACTGGGGCAGGAGCAGCCATCCCAGACCAAACCCCACACCACTGCCACTTCATGCCTCCACGGCCCTGCCATCCTGGCCAAGGACTCCCCTGGCTCCCACCAACACCGCTCAGTGCATTAATATTGCATTCAGCTTCCTAGTGGAAGTGGATAAATCTTTAAATCAAAGAGTGTTGCAAAGCACTCAGGCCAGGAGCCCTGCCAGTGCCAGTGGGGAGGGATAGGCATTCCCATCCTGCATCTGAGGGGGATGAAGGAAAGTCCTGACAGGGGCCAGATGCATCCCATCTCTGCCAGAACACCACAGTCCCTTTTAGCCCTTGCTTCATTAGCAATTAGCTGCTAATAATCATTAGCACATGGGGCCACTCTTGCTGGGCCACCACAGCCCATGTTCAACCCAGGAGCTGACTACATGGGCAGAGGAGGGGAAGCCCATGGTTCCTGCTGGTCCTCAGCTCCCAGGGAAACAGGATCCCTGGCTCTAAGCTGTCCTGCCTCCTCATGGTGGGATGTCACAGTCTCTTCTGCCTTTGACAGGTGCCAGCTGTGGTGCTTCCAGCTCCATCCAGGAGCATGGCAGCATGAGGTTCATTAGCAGTGGTGTCCCCCATGATGCCACCTCTCCAGCTACACCCACCTTACACAGCTCCCCTGAGCCCCCCTAAGCTGAGCACTGTCCCCAGGCTGGGGATGTCCCAGAGAATCCCAAACCTCTCACCCAAGTGCCCCTGCCCATCAGGTGGGGCCTAAAGAGGAGCCAAGGCAGCAGAGAGGGGACAAAGCTGATGGTCTCCACCAGGAACACCAACCAGCTCAGAGGCCATCAGGCTCCCCCGCCCTCCCTCCACCATGGCCAGGGTTCTGCAGCTCCAGGCTTAACCACTCCAGGGGCAGGCAACAGGGACAGCCAGCGTGGCATCGTCACTGTGGGCGTCCTGGCAACCCAGGTGTGGTGGCTCAGCAGCCAGGTAATGAGAACACAGCGTTAATGAGGCGGTTGGGGACCCTGGGAGGTGACACCCGCAGCAGTGCAGGGGGGAAGTTGGCATCGATGGCACAGAGGGGGAAGGGACTGGCCTGCAGGGACGCAGCAATGACTTGGCTCTCCCACTGCTACCAGTTGGAGCAGATCTACATCCCAGTCCTGGACCAGAGTTGGGGATCAGACCTACAGGCAGAGCCCCAACAGGCACCCAAGGAGAGGGACTCTGCATTGCCTGCAGGATGGAGAACAAAGCCATGTCCTCATGGCTCCAGCTGTGCCACCCGTGGCTGTGCACTATTTGTGGGGCTCTCACCTGGGGAGCTCAGGAAGAGGAACCTTCACAGCACTCCCAGAAGCCACTACAGGGAGGGAACCAAGCACCACCAAGCAGCCAAGACAAGCAAAGGGGACATTGCTGGGTGAGGGGACACGGAGGGTCTGTGCCTCTGTGTCTCCCTGCCCGTGGGGGGCTCGTGCCACCCAGGCAGCCCAAACCCAGCACGTCCCTCCCTCCTCCCCCACAGCTGCATTGCCCCTGCAGCCTGTTCCTGTGCCCGTGCCAAAACCCAGCGCTATTTTTGCTCCTGCTTTTTAGCAGCAGTGGAAATCCTCCTGCTCCACCCCAGGGGTGGGGACCAAGGAGAGGGAGGCAGCCTGGCCCAGAGGAGCCACTCTGGGGGGCAAAGACACCCCGACCTGAAACTGCCTTGTAACCCTGACCCCACACACAGCCCTGGGACGCTGAGCTGGATCCAACCCCACACTGCACCAAGGGCTGACACCCAAGGGATGCTGACACCCATCAGGGCAGGGCCCTGTGGGCTGGCATCATGGACACAACAGGGTGACAGAGCCAGGAACAAATCCCCATGGGGGATTATTTTCCCCAGGAAATTGTTTCTCCTTCGCCACATCTTCCCAGGACCGACTCAGGCTAATGCCAGCACAATGGTCCCCAAGAGGGAGCTCAGCCAAGGGCAGCAGCTCCTGCCCAGCCCAGAGAGGCAGCACAGTCACAGCAGCTCAAGGTGGCATTTCCTTCACTTTCCAGCTGGGCACGTGCTATTCCCTGACACCTTGGCAGTGCACCAGCACACCCCAGTGCTCACCCATTCTATCCCATTTCCAGGAGAAGCCCAACATCCACAGGGAGCCTGGGAGATTTTGGGGAAGCGCCACGGTTTCCCTGTGCCTGGGTGAAAATTCACCATGACAACACAGATGCGTGAGCTGGCCTCGGACCTGCCTCCACAGGCCTCCTCCAAAGGGTGGCTCGACACAAACACCATCTCCTCCACACCACTGCTTTGCCCAGTGTGATGAAGGCTGGACCCTGCCTTGCCTCCCCCAAAATGTGGGCACACCAAGCAGCCTCCCCCACGCCTTGGCAAGGGCAGCTGGAGGAGGATTTGGGATGGCAGAGCAGTGGCTTTGCAGAGATGCCATGGATGGGAAGGAGGGTGCAGGGGCTGGGGCTGGATGTGGCCCCGGGCTCCAGCCCAAACACCTGCACAGGCTGCACAGCCACGCCAGACTCCGGGACTGCCACTGCTGGATGCAGCCTCCGGCTGTGGATGTCACAGGCTTCAGGCTGGAAAACTTGGGGAGGTGGTTCAGCCCTATGCAGTGTGCCCCTCGATGGCCCCTGCTCTCTCTAGGGCATGACAGATGCCAGATCCACACATGGAGCATACTCCGGAGCATGCCACCTTCCCATGCACCCGTGCCAAACCTCGCTGCCCCACAAGCACCAGGCTCCGAGCTCAACACTGCACCCCAAAACCCATCCCCAGGGTGCCCACGCGGCTCAGCGCTCTCCTAGAATGAACAACGGGGACCCCAAGACGAAGCACCCTCATCCTCAAGCCATGTCGCTGGAGCCCTCAGCCGCCGCTGAGCCAGCTGCCATGGGATCAGGACCGCCAGTGCTCAGAGGCTCATTCCTCCCTGCTGCCCGTCCGTGGGACCGGGGGATTCGCACCTCCCCGGCTGCTGCAGGACGCCCCCGGCCCCACCGGCCGCCAGCCCCCGGGTACCGGCACCGCGTTGCCACAGCACCCTCGGCACAGCGCCTCGGAGCTCGCTGCGAAAATCACGGCTGGGGGAGATGTGCCTTCCCACCACCGCGGAGGGACGGGAATGGGACCTGGGGAAAAAAAGCACCCCACATCCCCTAGGACCCCCGTGGGCAGTGCCAGCTGTCAGGCTGCTCCAGCCCCAGCGAGCCCCACGGCGCCGGGGCCACCATCACCGTCACTCATCCTGCTCACGCAGCCCCCGGAGCGGGCAGCAGCTCCCCAGAGCCCGGGGGATGCTGGACGGATTCCGGCCAACGCCGTCCCGCCACCGGGGCACGCGGGATGCTCACGGAGGGGAGCACAACCCCCTGCCAGCATCGCCAGCCCCCTGCCCGGTCCCGCCTCAGCCCAGGCACCCCCAGCGCAGGATCCCCGGCACAGCATCCCTGCCCGGCGCGACGCAGCGTTACACAACAGGTAGGGGAGACCCGGCCCGCCGCCCCCCTCGCCCACCCCGCAGCCCGGGCCACGTACTGCTGTAGAGGGTGTCGATCCAGGAGAGGCGAGGCAGGCCGCGGTGGCTCAGCGGCTCCATGCTCGGAGGGCTGTGCCGGCGCTCAGCCCGCTCTCATCTCACAACAAAGGCGGCGGGCGCGGGCGGGAGGCGGGGGCCGCGGGCCCAGGCGGGGGCTGGATGGCAGAGCCGGCCACAGCCGCCTGCCCGGGCACACGGCCGCTCCTCTGCCAAGGGTGCCCAGGGAAGGAGGTGCCGCCTGGCAATGGCAGCGCGTCCCGCCTCCCGCCCCTGCCTCGCCGGGGGGAGCCGAGCTCCGCGTCCCCCCGCACGCAGTCACGCCGACCCTCCGCAGGGGTCTGGGGACCGCGCAGGAGGAGGAGGAGGAGGAAGAGGAGGAGGGGATGTTGGTGGCACAGCGGCCTATGCGGCTGCTCCCCGGGCCACCCCAAGGAGAACGGGGGGAAGGGGGAGCTGGCTCCATCACCCCTTCTACCGTGGTCTCATCTCCTTCCTATAACCGAGGGATACTGTGCCCACTTCCCAGAAAAGCTTTCCCCAGCTCCTCAAGCCACTACTGAAGCTGAAGCACACAGTCTCCTCCTGGTCCCGCTCCCCCTGGTTCTGGGAAGCAGGGCCTCCAGGAACCGGGAGCAGCCCTGCCCCCTTCAGCCGGGGTTAGCAGAGCGGGACGTGGGCAGGCAGGGGTTAAACCGCCCTCCCCAGCCGCGTGTAGCCAAAGGAAATACAAAGTGCCAGAGTCATCAACCCCAATATGTCAGGGCGCCAGCCAAGCGTTCAAGTGCAGAGACTGCCCTGGTTCAGCCTGTGCCCGCACCGCTGCCCCGTCCCGGAGGATTGGGCAGCATCCCCTGCCAGTGCCCTCGGCCGCATCCTGCCTGTGGCCTCAGCGTGAAGAGAAGGGCCTGGACCAGGCACTGGGGCCAGATGGGAACTGGGCAGGAGGGATAATGCTCTGCCATTGGAGCATGAAGTGCCAGGACGCGGGTGGCATCGGCAACCGGCTGGGAGACCTGAGAGGACCCTGTCAAGGCACTGCCACCACCTGATCCCCACTCCCAGGGATGTCCACAGACACAGCATTTTGGGGGAGCGCAGCAATGCCAGTGCTGTGATTCAGCATGGCTGAAGCACATGGAACCATTGGCACCTGGCATCCAGGATGAGGAGCCACTGCTGTCCCTGGCACAGCCCTGCCTGCCTGCAGGGGATCCATCCAGCCCCGGTGTGGCAAGGACCCACATCCACAGCCCACTGCACCCATGGGCTGTGAGTCACCGCGTGCTGAGTCAGTGGCACAGGGTGCAGCCCTACAGCTGCCATTTCCCACCCCTTGCCTGACCCACTCCCAGGTATTTTGGGGAGTCAACACTCCCGTTGCCCCCAAGCTGTTACCACAGGTAGTGCCCAAGGGTGACCACAACGTGACAGTCTTTGCTGCTGTCCATCTCCCACCAGCTCCCCCATCACTCCTGCCTTGGCTCCAGCTCAGCGTGTCCTCACTCCATGGAACCTTAAAGGTTCCAGCTGAGAGTCCTCTCCATCCTCCACAGCAAACTCCACACCACTGCAGTCCCCTCAACCCCTCACAGCAAGAGCCCCTGCCAGGAAGGCAGCAGAGGTTCAGCCGAGCACATCAACCCTGTTTATAGCAGGAAACCACTCTTTGTTCGTGCCCTGGGGAGCCCCCGCAGCAGCACCAGCACAGGGTGGTGGCTGCAGGGCCACGGGGGCAGCAGGAAGCTGGTTTTCCATGCAGGGGAGTTTTTCCACATGCTTTTCCCGGCCAGACACACCTCCTGGCCACTCCTGCCCATGGCACCAGCCTCTCTATGCCACCATGCCCCCTTTGCACATCTTCCTCTTTGTCCAACACAGGGCATGAGCTGAGCACTTGGAAGAGCTGCCAGACCCCATGCAGCACTACACCAGCTGGCCACCCTTGGCCTGGTACCACACAGCAGGTCCTGGCAGTGCCATGGCCAGGAGGACCAGGCCAGCAAATGCCTCACAGACCCAGGACCACCCTGTGCTTCACCCCATGGCAGCACACACCAACCCAGGCAGATGCCCTTGCACAGCCCACACAAGACAGCCCCACCAAACCACGGGGCTTTATTTTTACTTTGGTTCTTGTGCTCTTCTCACCTTTGCGAAAACAGCAAAACCTCAAAACCTGCAAAGCAGCTCGAACCTTCCTCCTCTGCCCAGGAGAGCTGGCGGGAGCACCCACCCACACCCTGGCACCCATCACCCCGGCACCCATCTCCCCTCAGTGATACAGACCAGTCCTGGGTGAGGAGATGCTGCCAACCATGTTCTCAGCCCCCGTCAACCACCCCCAGCTCCAGCTGGGAGCATCCCTGCGGCAGAGCCGAAGCCTCAGCTCCACAGTTCCTCCCCACCACCAGCCAGCCCTGCACAGCCTGCCTGGTGTCTGGCTGTCTGCCTGGCATCTGCCCAGCCCCTGCCCGCCATCCCACGCATCGCTATTTCTGGGCTCTTGTGCAAGAGTCCTCCAGTCACAGCCACAGGAGCTGCAGGAGCCTCGGCGCTCGGCCAGGGCCGGGCAGGGGCTGCTGGTGGGAGCCCAGGGCTGACAGCAACCAGAGAGCAGCTCCAGAGCCACCTGCACCTCCAACGCTGGCACAGGGTGGTCTTCTCCTGCAGGAAGAGTGGAATGGGAGAGGGTGGTTGGGGAGCACCATGCAAGTGCTAAGAGCAGCCAGAGAGCTTTAATTAGGAGAGGTGAAGCCTATGTGTCCTGGAGCCATGGCAGGGACACAGCCAGGGCTGCAGAGCCCTGAGGTGGGAGATGCCAGCCAAGAGCGTGGCTTTCCCAGCTCCTCCAGTGCCTGCTCTGCCAGGCTCTCCAGGAGGTCCAGGCTCTCCCTCGCTGGTGCAGAGCAGCAGCTGCCCCCTTGCCAGAGGCTGCAGAGAGAGATGAGAGGAACAAATGAAAATGTTTCCACCCTCCCCGCCAAGGAGAACGGCAAGTTCTTCCTGCCGGGTGCCCTGAACATGCCACTCCTCAGTCCAGCATTAAACTTCTGCCCCAGTATCACTTCCCTGCGGGATGGAAGCCCTGAGGTCTGAGCTGCATCGGCCCCAAGCTGCACTCACAAACCTGGGGCATGGCTGAGAGGTGCCTGGAGCACAGGGCAGGCTCAGCCAGCTTTGCTTCCCACCACAAGAGCTTCAGGAGGAGGAGGTGTGAAGGAGGAGGTGTTGGTTTGCAGCCTCAGAACAAAAACCTGCCCATGGAACAAAACCCATCCAGAAAGCCCCATCCCAGCACAAAGGTCTCCCTATCTGCCAGATCTTTCAAACAATCCCTGAACTTTGCAGCTGGGACTTATCTCAAGGCAGATCTGCAGGAGTCCTCTGGGATTCTGCTTAGGCTGGTCAGGCTCTGCTCAGGCTACAGCCAAGGCAGCCAAGAAATGCTGCTGCTACTGATCTACATACGCCAATTATCCTGCTCAGCAAACACTGATAAAGTAACTTGGAGTGGGAAATCTTCTATTTGGGGATGTCTCTTGGGGAAGGGATGAGTTCCATGTGCTCTCTCTCCTGCTGGCTCCTGGTGCCTGCTCCAGGTGACCTCAGCAATGCCACGAACCAAGGGCATAGGTGCCATTTTCCTGTCAGGGATGCACACTTAGTGAGCTGCCCTGGCTACCTCAGGCTCCCCTCTGTAACACAAGGAAATAAGAGCACAGAGGAAAGTCTCTCCCTCTGATCCCCGCTGCAGGGTTGGCCCCAGCAGACAGCATCCAGCAGAACACAGAGCAGAGCCATCCGCTGGGATCCCAACCGGCGGCATCGCTGGGCAGGAGGGGAGGAGGAACCGGCGGAACAAAGAGCCCCGCTGCACAGAAGTGTCTTTCCAGGGGGAAAAAAACCACAACAAACCCAAACCAGATTTCAATAGACTTACAATGCAAATGTATTCAGGCCCCGCAGGGCACTTCTGGCTCTATCCAGCCACCTAATGAGGGCTCCTTGCCTTCCTGCTGCTGCTCCTGCCTGGGGCAGCCGATCAGCACTGCACCAAACCTGGGGGCCACCTCCGTGCTGAAGTGGTCACCCCATGGTGGGCACAGCCCCTGGCACTACTGGCACTGGAAGGTAAACTCCATCCCTTCCTGCCTTTCTGCAGAGCACCAGGGCAGACTGTGCAGCCCAAGAAATGCTGCCGAGCTGGGGGAGTTCAGCATCATCTCTGCCCCAAATCATGAGGGGATAAAAACCCAGCCGGTGGGACTGTGCTCAGCTGATGGAACACAAGGACATGCATCCACAAAGGGATGCACAGGGATGCTGCAGCCAAGCCCAGCTCCTCCAGGTGAGATGTTGGCATCTCTGTGCCCAAGGAGAGCAGGAACCGCAGCTGTGCCGGGGGAATATCCCCGCCCAGTGAGAGGGACAAGGACTCCCAACCCACAGAGCATCCATCCTGCTTGGTGGTCACAGGGTGCTGGCACCTGGAAGGGCTGTTTCCCACCCAGCAGATGCAGCTGCTGCCAGCTCTGCCCCGAGCACAGATCCTGGTGGTGCCCATGGGCAGAGCTGGTCACAGCTCTTCCAGCTCCTTTACAAGCCCTCCATTATGAACCCATCACAGGGCAAACTCCAACAGCCAGCACTTACTGCTCTCACCTAAAGCTATGCTTTAAACAGCAGCTCTTCTACTCCAAGGCATTTTAACCTCATAAACCTTGCATTTATTTATGGTTTTCTTTAACAGTGCCAACCTGCCCCAGCGTTAACCCTGCCATCCCCACCTCAGGCAGCACCACTCCTGGGCGAGGCAGCCCCACGTCACGCAGGGGTTGCTGTCACAATGCCACCAGGGGGGTTTGTGCAGAGAAGCCACCTCCCGAAACGCCACCGGGCCCCAGAGCAGATGGAGACGGTTCAAAGGTCCCCAGCAGGCACACAGACACACATGCTGCGGTTTTGTCCTTGCCTGAGCAGTTGAAATTAAACACTGAGACTCTGCCTGGCCTTCCCTGGCCAGAGGAGGAAGGTCCAGCATCTCCAGAGCCAAATAAGCGCTTTCCAGCAGTGGGGAAACATGATGAAGTAAAAATTTTAAAAAGCAGATATGAGGGCACAGAAGTGGCAGATGGGCTCTCAGGGAGGGACAACTCCCCCCACTGCACGTCCCCACTTGGGCACTGACTCCCAGATCTCCCCTAAAGGAGGTGCTAAAGAGGGGGAGATGGATGTACAGATCATGCAACACTTCACCTTTCTGTGGGGAGCTCCTCTGCCTCCTGCACGCTGTGACCTACCCCAAGGAGAAAGAGATGCACCAGGATAAACTCTGGACTTTGGTCACTACTTTCTGTTCTTTTCCTTTGCTGAGGTTTTATGGAGTATTCCAAGAAAGAGATGAGGAACCAGAAGGGTCCAAGGGTGGCTCAGGACAGCAGGACAGAGCCCTGCCTGCAGCATTGCCCCATCACCTCCCTGACTGCAGGGAGTTTCTCCAGAACAGAGATGCCACTTTTGCAGCATCATGTATTTGCCAGGAGCAGCACAAGCTGAAAGCAGGGGGAAAGCAGCAAGAACAAGCCCTGCCTTTACCCAAACTGTGCCACAAGCCCCCAGCATGACACCCATAGGAATCCAGCCCCAAGCTGGGCATGCAGGGATGAGGTAGCCAATGCCCCAGGGACTCCAGATGCCCCAGGGCCCCTTCCCCATCTCAGCCCATTGGTGCACACCCTGACACCGCTGCCTTTCTGTGCTCCCCGCCCTCCGAGGCAGGGACCCCACTGCTGCCCGCAGCTCCCTTCCCATTTCCCAAGGTACCAGTGAAGGCAGTGCAGCAGGGCGAGAAGAAGAGCCCACGTGACTCCAGGATATTTCCTTGGGAGAAACTGTAATTCCAGCTAAACAGAGGGCTGGGGATTCATTTACAGCACAGCTTGCAGCCACAGCATCCTGCTGTAACCAGATCCGCCAGCCAACGCCATCATGGGCTATTCCAGCTATGCCAGCTCTCCCCACCCCAGAGCTCACATTTCTGGGGTGCAGGGCGCTGCACAGGGCAGGTCAGGGGCTTCTAAACCACACAGCCTTCACAAGGAGCTCCAGGAGCTCCCGCAGCACCCCAGCTCTGTGGCAAAGCCAGCCTCTTCCTCCGCTTCCCGAGGACAAAGCGAGCAAACCCAGCACCGAGTTCGTTCCACCTCCGCACGCGCTACCTGGCTGCCGGGCACAAAGCATCTCCGACGGGCACCGCCGCCTCCCTCCTGCTCAGCTCACCCTCTCCTCGCTGGTACCAACCCGCAGCACCGGACCCTCCATCCCTTCTGTGGCAAAAGGGAGGTGATGGAAGCGGCGCCCAGCCCGCCCCGGCACACCCCGAGCACCTCCCGGCACGGCACCGCGCATACTCAGCTGCGAGGCCAGCTGCGTGTTTGGCCACAGGGACAGGTGACGGCCAGGATGAAGGGAATTTTAGTCCTTTCCACGCTTCGTTCTTAGCCATCTGCTCGCTGACGCTCAGATTTTGTCGGTCCCGGGTGAGCTGGCACAGGCGTTATCTCAGATGCCAGGATCGTGTATCTGGCTGTCACACGCGCTGCTCTCGTGCAACAGCCGCAGACAGGGGCATCTCGCAGATTTCCTCGCTTTAAATCAGATTAATCACAAGCTACTTAAAGGAAACCACTGGTAATTCCCTTAAAGACGGTATTCAACGCTCCTTCACTTGCTGTCCGGATAGTGCTTCCATAGGTTATGGTGATACAGCTGGGGACTGATGCGTTCAACCACAGCCACAGCACCACTACGCTCCAAAATTCACATTAAAATACTGAGGGACCCAGGCAGAGCGGCACTAACTGAGTTACACACCACCAGCGTGCTGGCAGGAGAAGCAAACAGCACCACGATCAGGAATTTTCAATTATATCTGAAAAATAGAGAGAAGTGAGAAGAAAACAACAGGAGCACTAAGTTAACCAACTGCCCGTGAAAAGGGGATCCCAGGCAGCAACCTCACACGTCTTACTGGACCCTCAAATTTTGCTTTTAAATGTCAGTGCCGTCAGCGCACACAGGCGCCCTTATAACACCCAACAAAGAAAAGTGCTGACGCTTGGGAAAGGCTCGGGACAGGCTCAGGACAAGGCTGGGGAGGGCTCATCAACATCGCTGCCATCAGCTGACCTCGGTGCAGAGCCCAGCCATGTCATGGGACAAGGAGCAGGGAGCTTCCTCCTCTGAGGAGCGCTGGAGATGGTGATCCTGATGAAGACCCATTTAGGGAAAGAGGAAGAGGCCACATTTACCCACAGCAGATGCAGCCTTGGACTTCAAGGTCTTATCTGAAAGACTCACCAGGACCAGCTGCAAAGGTCTTGCAGGGTGGTACTGGGCTGGAGGATCCCTCTGACTTACAAAGCTGGGACCTTGGAGGCTTATGCTGTGCTCCAGGAAAGCCCCTTTAAGAACACTCCCTGGCCTGAGAGCAGCCTTGCACAGTCCTGGGTTTGGAAACATTCAGGAGCATTACCCAGATATAAATGCAACGCAGATCCAAGCACAAATCAGAAGGATTTGTGCTTGGTCGCTCCGACGCACTTGAGCCACTTCAGCCACTGAGCAGCTCTCCAAGAAGTACAGCCAGTGCCTGCTGATGGGAGCTGGAGAACGGCCTGGAGCAGCCCTTTGAAAGCAGCACATGGAATGCCCTTGGTCCTCACCCCAGGGCTGGGACCAGGCTCCCACAGCCAGTCCCTGCCAACTGGGGAGCGGCACAAACACTCACACGTGCGAGCCTGGCACAGTACGGCAACAACACCGGGAGCAGCCATGCACTTTGGACATTTCACCTCCAGACAGCTCGGGAAGGTGAAGTGGAAACTGAGCTGCTCTTCAGCACTGCAGACTAATGCAATAAATATAAATTAACTAAATAGCAAGCACAATTTGACATCAGAGCACTTGCTACCCAGGCAATCTTAAACCAGCACGATACAGCCTTGGGGCAAACGCACCACCCCAAACAATCAAGCAAGAACAAAATTAACTCAAGTCAGCTGCAGAATTAGCAGCATTAAAAGTGGCATTCCCTAGCTGCCGGGACTGTGTTTGAACCGGGTTTAAAGCTGATGCAATAACAACTTCCAGGCCGCTGGAAGTAGGACAGCGTGACGGGTGACAGCGCTAGCTGGCTGCGCCTTCAGTGCCACAAAACAGCCAGGCAAAATAAGTGTCCTCAATCCGCCCAGAAAAACGCCCCAGGACATGTCACCACCCCGGGAAGCTTCTGCTTTAGCACCTCCAGGATTTCCCCACATGAGGCCACGGGGTGTCACCTGAGCAGAGGTGTCCCGGTGAGCCAGGTCACACCAGGAGGAAGTGAGTCCTTCACAGTGTCCCAGCCCCAGAGGTGGCTCCTGGGTCACCACCACATCACCAAGACCCAACTGCAGGGGACCAGCAGCCACTCTCCCTCCTTGCCCACCTAAGGATGGGGCCTTGGCATGCGATGTCCTTGGAAGTGGGACAGGGAGGAGACAGAGCTCAGGGTGACCTTAGTGGTGGGACAGCACATGGGCTCAGGGTGGCACTAGTTGTTTGATGTGGATGGCACAAGGAGTTGGGGCATACTCTGCTAAGTGATGGCATGGGGTGCTCCTGGGTGCACCATGGGGACACCCTGGGGAGACCATCAGATCCCCTGCTGTGCCACAGGGGACCGGCTGCATCAACTGTGTAGCAGGGATGGCACAGGGGCTTGGGATTGCCTTAGCAGTGGCACGGCATGGGGACACACGGGGACGGAGTGGCACGGGATGCCACGGGCATGACACGGAGGCACAGGACCGGCAGCGCGAGGGCTGGGGACGCCTCGGCCGTGAAGCGGCTCAGGACGCCCTTGACCATGCGATGGGGACAGCGCAGGGGGGCTTGGGGTGGGGACGGCCCCCCCCTCGGCCGCCCCGCGGCACCCACCTGCCGAGGAAGCGTCCTCCGCGTCGGAGCTGCCGCCGCTGCCTCGCTCGGGAGCTGCCGGCGGGGCGGGGGCGGCGGGCGGCGGCGGCGGGAGGGGGGCCCGGGCCAGCGCCGCCTCCAGGTAGCCCACCTTGAACCGCTCCTCGGCCAGCGCCCGCTGCAGGCGGCGCAGGTGGCGGCGGCAGCGCTCCAGCTCCCGCTCCATGGCCCGCACCGAGCCCAGCTCCATGCGGGGCGCCGGCTCCCGGGAACTCCGCCTGCCAGTGCCGCGCGAAGTCCGCCCGGGCCGCCTCGCCCGCCGCCATCCCCGCCCCGCACCCGAGTTCTTCCCCGTCCCTCCCTCCCTGCCTCCGGCACCGCCGCCGCCGCCGCCGTTCCGCCCCCGCCGCCGCCGCGGAGCCTGACGTCGGGGCCCGCCCCCGGCCCGCCCCGCCTCGGCTCGGCCCCGCCGGGGCGGGGGCAGCGCTGCCACCGCCCCCCGGCCCCGCTCCGGCTGCGGCCCGCGGATGGCATGGCATGGCATGGCATGGGGGGACACGCACCCCACTGCTCCGACCCTCGGTCCTTCCGCCCCCGGGTCTCCCCGAGAAGCTGCGGGCCGGGGGATGCGGGCGAGGGAGCGCCCGGTGCCGGCAGCGTCAGAGCAGTAACAGCGTGATAGCTGGTGCCAGAATCCATCCCACGCTCCGCGAGGGATCCCTCCCTGAGCCAGGAACAACGGAGCCTTGAAGGCACGGGGTGGCTACTGTGCCATGGGGTGGCTACTGTGCCACCACCGAGCTGCCCTTCCCCAGCTGCCATGTGCCCTGGTCTTCACTGTGGAGCTCTGCCCAGCCTCCTGGCCACCCTCATCCTCTGGCCAGTGAAACTCTGCCTGCCCTGTTGGTCTCAGGACGGATGGACCACTCCCAGCAGATGGAGGGGCAGGCACAAGCTCCTGTGGTGGGCAACAGAGTTCTACAACTCCCTGAAAGGAGGGTGTAGCCAGGTGGGGTTGGTCTCTAGTCACAGGTAACAATAGGACAAGAGGAAATGGCCTAAACCTGTGTTGGTGGAGGTTTAAGTTGGATACACCGAACGATTCTGTGGTGCCGTGAAGGCCAACATAAAGCCTTTGTGCCCACTCTGCCACACACGCTGTGTTTAAGCTGTGCCCTGGGCAGGGCTGTTCCCTTGTGCCAGGCAAGGTGCTGGAGGACAGGACCTCCCCAAGGCTGGGGCAGGAGCCTCCAGGCAGCATGGCCTCAGGGCACTGCCTTTCCCTGCTTTCTCATGTGCCCTGCAGGATGTCAGGGCTGTGGATGGATGACTCACCAGCCCCATGTCCCTTGTGCCACCTGGCCGTGCCCCAGCAGGAACAAAGCGCCCTATTTATTTACCCACGGGGCCCAGACTGTGCCGCAACAGCCGCCTCCTCCTTCCCCTCCGTCACCAGGGGTGGGCACCTCCCTGCACGCCGATCCCTGGCTCTCATGCTGCCCTGCCTGCTTCGCTCTGGCGCATCCACGACTCCCAGTGCAGCCTTCCCAAGGAAGATGGGTGGTGCTGGGACACTGCCAGGAGCTGGGCAGCCCCCCCAGGCCTCCTCACCCCAGCAGGGTTTTACCTCCAGTGAGGTAAAAGATGGCCCTGGCAGCTCTCACCTGGAAGCAGCAGTGGTTTGGGGGTGCTGGATGGATGCAGGTGAGGGGCAGCCAGTCCAGGGCTCTTTGCAGGAGTTAAGACCCAGCTCAGCAGCAGTGTCAGGGGTGAAGACACACAGAACACACCTCTGAGAGCTGTGACAATACTGGGAGGTGCCCAGCTCTCAGCAGTGCCCCAGTCCAGTGAGACACAGGTGGGGTGTCCCTGGGGGCCAAACCACTTCTTAGAGGCTGGGGAGGAGGACGGGGGTGCCATGAGTGGCCTGATTTATGCGTGGCGACAGATAATTACGGCTCTTTCATCATCTGTCAGGCAGGCGGGCCCAGCAGAGCCCTATAACACGTTTGTGGCTCCCCATCTCAGCCCATAAATCTCACCAGCACACGGTGATAAATCAGCAGGGACTGGGGGAGCAGGGCCTGGGTGGGCGTTCCTGCTGACCTCCCACCCTGTAATGGGCACCTAGGTAGGAAGCAACCAGGACGAGGTGGGGATGGCCCAGCGGGGTGCACTAATTACAGGTGGCATCCGATGGCCCGTGATTTATAGTCTGGTCTTGCCCGCTTCCAAGAGCTGGGCCTGGATCCCTGCAGCCAGGGCTGCCCAGAGCTGGGACTCTGGGAGCCCCTGGCAGCTCTCCCCAGCCAGCTCCTGGGGGCTGTGGGCAGGATTTGGGGCTGCTGCTTCTGCCCCTCCCTCTGCCCAAGCATCGCCCAGCTGGGCCTGGCTTTGTGCCCAGCTCAGCCTCCTCCGTGCCTGTTCTGTACTGCACCTCCTGACCTCCCACACCAGCACAAACATTCCCATGGCAAGGATCTGTGCTGCTCAGCTGGGTTTTAGACAGGCACGTCTCTAAGTGGGTCTGACATCCGTGTCCTGCTGGCATTTTTAAGCATCCTGAAGATCCCCTTGCTCCTGAGCTGAGCTCACCAGGTAAGTCAGTGGCCAGGGAGCCTCCACTGCTGGGCAGGGCAAGCCTGGGTGGTGAGAAGGATGCTGGGGAGAACAAGAGGGCCATAGTGAGCACAGGTGAGTGCTCAGAAATATTTGCAAGCTTCACCTCCCTTTGAAGTCCTGGTGCCTCAGCCTCCCCTCTCCCTGAGGCCCTGGCTCCTGATTTATTGGGTTCCTGGAGGAGAGGCACCTAAATTAGCTCAGGCTTCAAAGAGCCAAGAGAGGAGACGGGCAATAGACAAATAACCCCCTGCTAATTGTGGCTATTGATCAAACATGAGCCAGGACGGTCAGATAGGAAGGGATGGATCAAGGGGGGCACATTCTCCAGGGTCTCTGCTTTTGTACCAGTCACCCCAACAATTTGTCAGACCCACTCCTGGGCTGTTTTTCAAAGCATTACCTGTCGCATAGGAAGGCATTTAGTGACTGCTTGCTAACGAGATGATGGGCAAACACACGTGGCTGTCCCTCACTGCTCTGAGGTTGGGGACCTGGCCCTGCCCATGGCCTCCGGACCTGCTGCACCTGGGAAGTCCCTCATCCCACCAGCTTGTGGATTCAGGAAACAAGGAGCTGCTTTCAGCATCGTTTTCCCCAGGTAAGTGCCGGGCAGGCCTGTCAGCCCAGACAGCTCTGCCCCCAGGCTCCTGCTCTGCTGCGAAGGGACAGGAAGGCTCTGGAGGCAGGTAGCACTTTAGCTCTTTTATCACCTGCCCCAGTCCCCCCTGCCACATTCCTGCTTCCTGCTCCGCAGGGCAGAGGCGTGCCAAGCCCTGTACATTCCTGTTCCGACCCCAACTCCCGGGGGCTGCTCCTTCCCAGGCACCCACCCACCTCAGTGCCCAGGGATGCTCCCAGCACACTGGAGTGTAGTTGTGTGGAGCCTCCAGCCCCAATCCTGGGGCAGGAGTAACTGTGCCTTCTCCTGCACTCAGCCACAAGACTTGCTCTTCTCTCAGCAGTGTCGTCATTCCGTGCCTGGGTTTCTCTTGGCTGGGAAATAACAGAGAGGCTGCAGCGCCCATGAGCTGAGGGGAAAGAAGAGCCAGGGTGAGGATGCCCCCTGGGGCTCTGCATCACAGCAGCACATAAAACCAGGGACGACCTGGCCCAGGCTGAGCCACCAGCCCACCCAGCAGTGGAGAGAGCAGAGCAGCACAGGGGAACTCCTGCAGGGCCCAAATTCTTAGCAGAGAGTAAAGCAATCGCTGCAACACGTGCTTGGAGGAGGTGCTTTTCCCCTGGGGCCTGTGAGCATCCCACTGCAGGCTCTGGGCACCCTGGCGCTGATGCCCCATGCTCCAGCCTGGCACCACATGCTCAGGAGCATCCCCAGGGGCAGGAACCGGGCAGGACTCGCCTTGTGACTCTGCAAAGCCGCACCTGCGGCAGGTGAGGAGGGTCGGGGGAGCCACGTGACGAGCCCCGTGGTGGGGTTTTTAGAGGCGGCCGTGTGTCCCTGGGGGAGTGTCTCCCACGCCTCGCAGGAGGCAGGATCACAGCAGCACCTCTCCCGCTCCCCCTCGCCGCTGCCATGTCCGGAGTCGCCGTGGGGAAAGGCACAGAGCCAGAGCCCAACAGCTCGGAGGAGGAGCTGGAAGCGGGGGGCACACCCCAGGCATGCTGTGGGCAGAGTCTGTGGGTCCCCCAGGGCAGGGAAGCAGCCGCCTGCCTGGGGGACACTGAAGGGATGAAGGTGAGGAAGAGGAGCAGGCCGGTGCGCTCCAAGGCCAGGAGGATGGCTGCCAACGTCAGAGAGCGTAAGAGGATTCTGGACTACAACCAAGCCTTCAACGCCCTGCGCCTGGCCCTCAAGCATGACCTCGGTGGCAAAAGGCTTTCTAAAATCGCCACCCTCCGGCGAGCCATCAACAGGATCACGGCGCTGTCCCTGTCCCTGCACAGCCCCGCGTGCCGCTGGCCCTGCGCCCATTCCGAGTGCCATGGCCGGGCTGGGGTCCCTGCGCAGGAGCCAGGGGTGAAGGGCAGCCGCCCCCAGCTCCCCTGGGAGCCCGGTTCTGCAGGCACACGCTGCCCCCAGTCTCCTCTCTGCGCTGAGTTTTCCCCTCAGAGGCAGCTCCATCACTTCGAGAGCCTGAAGGAGGACGGCTCCGTGCCCAGCCCTGCCTGTTGCTCCAGCGGGACCCCCCACCCTGCGCTCCGGGGCACCTGCCAGCAGCGATACACGGGCAGCCTGCAGGACCCCCTGGCCGGGGCAGTCCCCTGGCAGCTGGGCTACTGCCAGAGCTGGGGGCACCAGCAGTGCCTCCCCATCCGCTGACCTGCAGGGCTGAGGTGGCCAGATGGTGCCAGGAAGGTAATGGATCCATGGGACAAGTGGGGGGAGCGGGAAGGGAGTGTTGGATGAGAGAGAAGCGCTGCAGGATGTGGAGCTTGGCTGAAGTGCTGGTGAGAGCTGGGAGCCCCCAACGAGCTGTACTGGACCCCAGCGCTGCCTGGGCCTCTGTTCTGCGGGAAAACTGTGGAATGTGGGAAGTCCTCTGCAAGTGCCATCTCTCCGTTTCTTGTTGCGAGTTCTCACTGTTGCTGATTGCCACTGTTATTTATTCTCTCTCGCTTGCTCTGTGAGAAAATACGAATTACAAACCCAGCACCAGAGCCCTGGCTGTTAATATGTGTGGGATGGACAGATGGGCCGTGGGGATCACGCTAAAGCCCCTGGCTGGCTGGTCACTCTGGCTCCCATCGGTGAAGGAGGGGAGCAGGAGCAGGGAAAGGTTAGTGCCCTGGGACTTTTGATGCTAAGCTCATTGGTACAGACGTTTGTGCCTGGCAGATTTGCGAGGCCGGGAGGGGAGACAGATGTCGGCTTTCATAAAACCCACCCATCCGATTGCAGTTTCCTCCTGATCACAGCAAAGTGGCTCTGGTGGGACAGGCCCATAGGACATTTCTGGCCAGCCCCCATGGCAGGGAGGAAGGGGGAATTTTACTGGAAAGGTTGCTTTTGTCCCTTCCCTCTGGCTTAGAGAGCTTGGACTGGCTGGGAGGGCTCCCTTCTGCCTGAGGCTCAGCAAACTGGAATTGATGCAGAAATCAGGCAGGGATTTACAGCCACACTCACCACAGGCAGCAGATTTTTAGATTGGGCCAATTGCACCATGTGATTCCTGCGGTGCTGAGCCCCACAGAGCTCCCCCAGCCCTGCTGCTCCCACCCCAGTGCTCCCAGCATGGCTGCCAACATGCCAAGGGCAGTCTGAGCTCTTTCCCTGCCGAGGGGCACATGCTGGAACAATCATCTCAACCCTCTGCTGTTGTTTGCCAGGCCCTCCCCAGGGTCTCCTCCTCCTTCCTTAATCTCCAGTGGGACAAGGGAGCTGGGCTGGGAGCAGAGGAAAGCTGTCAGCAGCCAGGAGAGAGAGCTCTTTGCTCAGCAAAGGAACCTCTTTAAAGTGCTGATGGTGTGAGGCATCTTGGCTTCAGCCCCTGACAGGTGTTCCCTTTGCCAGAAGAAGGCCTGCAGCCCTGTCCATGGAAGGAATCCTGCTTCTCCCAACAGCATCCCTGCTCTGGGTGCTCTCCCTGCTCTCCCTGGAGCAGCACATGGCCCTGCCCTGTCAGCAGCCATCACCCAGGGAGTGAGAGCCCAGCAACACCAGCATTCAAGGAAGGTTTAAGCGACACCCTAACTCAGACAGGAACCCCTCCCTCCTCACAGATTTGCATCTCCATGTTTTTCCCCACCAGCTTCGGTGACCAGCCAAAGGGAGAGATGGAAACAGCTGGTCACAGAGGCAGGAGTGAGGGGAATGAATAACCCCACAAGACCCTCCAGAGCAGGGTCACCCCACTGCTCTCAGGTTCACATTTACGAAACACAAGTCCTAATTCTACCTGGAGGCTGCAAGATGGAATAAGGCTCTGGGCAGGGCTGGGCAGCAGGTCCCGGCTGGCACCAGGCTCTTTGGGCACCTCTCAGTGAGGCAGAAGGTGCTGGGTGTGCCCCGTAGATGGCACTCACTGCCACCGTCCGTGCAGCCCTGCACAGCCAGGGCAGCCCCAGCCCAGCTCTGCAGCGATGAGGGGCATTGTGCGGGTCTGCTCCGTGCCGCACGCCCCCCACCTGCCTGGGGAAGGGCTTTCAGCCAGGAGGGAGGCAGGGGCAGCAGGGCTGTGTGTACCCAGCACGGACCCACCCTCGGCATCCCCGCGCGCCGCCGAGGCTGGAGGCGGCCCCGACCCCGCCGGCACAGGCGGAGCCCAGCCGGGGCTGTGCTCTCACGTACCGCTGCAGCGGAGCGGAGCCCGTGGGAGCCCCCGGGAAGAGCTGGGGGTCGGTGGGGCGGGACAGAGCCCGGGGCTGGGCGGGTTGGAGGCGGCGGGGACACCCTGCTCTCCCACCGCTCCGCTCCGCCCCGCCGCATCCCCGCCAGCATCCCGGGGGGGGCCGCGGTGCCGCCCGCAGCGGGACGGGCGGAGGCCGAGCGCGGCCCGGGGGTGAGGAGCGGGGGGCACGGGGACACCCCGGGGGCGGTCCGCGGCCCCGATCCTGCCCCGGGGGCTGAGCCGGGCTGGCCCCTCCTCCGGCTCGGCCTCCCGGGGGGCGGCGGGCCCCGAGCGCAGAGCGGCGGCGGCGGGGCGCTGCCGGAGCCCGCTCCGCCGGGCCATGGCCAGCACCGGCTCCGCGCCCGGGGGCGCGGGCGTGGGCTCGGGCTCCGGCTCGGGCTCGGGCACGGTGCTGCCCACCCGCTTCCAGGAGACCGAGAAGCTGCTGTCGGCGACGGAGGGCCGGGAGGAGAAGGGCCTCCGCGGCTCCAAATCCTTCACGGCAGCCTTGCCCGGCGAGACGGAGCGCAACGGGCACGGGCTCGGCTACAAGTCGGTGTCGGTCGGGCACCTGGAGGCGCCGCCGCTCTCGCCGTCCCGGCTGAGCCTGGGCAGAGCCTCTTCCACGGCCACCAGCACGGCGGCCCCGGAGCAGGGCCGCCCGCGGGACTACCTGGTGCTCGCCATCTTCTCCTGCTTCTGCCCCGTCTGGCCCCTCAACATCGTGGGCCTCGTCTTCTCCATCATGGTGAGTGCGGGACCCGCCGGGCTCGCGGACCCGCCCGTTCCCCACCGGTTTCCCCGCCGTCCCCGACGGCCGCCCCGGAGCTGTCCGCGGTGCTGCACCGCCGGGACCGGGATCGCCCGCACCGCTCCCGCAGCGCTCGGGGGCTCGGCCGGGCTGTGCCGCCGCTCGGCTCCCGCAGGGCGCTCCGGTGCGGGTCCGGGGAACGGAGGCGGGAGGAGGCGGGCGGGGAGCGGCGCCGAGCCCGGGGCAGCGCGCGGGGAGGCGGCGGGATGGATGTGGAAAGGCAGGCGGTGGGATGGAGATGGAGATGCGGGGAGGCGGCGGGATGGAGATGGGTGGGGGATCCCAGGGCAGGGCTCCGGGAAGCCCGGTAGCTCCGGGAAGCCCGATCCCTGCCGCCAGGCAGCGGTCCAGAACGACTCGCCGGGCTTTCCCGGGAAGGAGCTGCGAGGCGAAGCAATGACAAGGGATCTCCCTCCGCCCCTCCTAGCCCAGCCCTGCAGCACGGGGGAGACCCTGGCTGGAGGCTGGTTCCTGTCCCTCAGGCACTTCAAAGGGTCAGGTGCACCTGCAGCTCTTTCAGTTGCCCTGGAAAAGCAATTTTCTCCATTAAACATCCCCCAAACCTCAGCAAATCCACCAACAGCCGAGCAGGGGAGAATGAAGCCAGCCAGCCTCCCACCCATCTCGGGTACAGGTGGCTCAGTCAGCACAGCCCTACAAGGCATGGCCACCCCCTTGCCCATCAGATGCTGCTCTCTTGTACAGCCCCCCCTCCCTAGCACCTTTTGTGCCTTTGATTTGCAACAAAGGCAAATCTTTTCTTTGAAAATCATCTCAGCTACCTGCTTACCACACAGAAATACACCGAGGGGCACCTGCAGCCAGCACTTCCCCAAAAACCAACGACAACTTGGAGGCAGAGGCTGGCAGTTGCCACAGAAAGCCCTCTAGAGAGACCAATTTCCATTTTGAGGAGGAATCATCGTTTCTGCCAGTGCCAGCTGTCATCTGCGTAGTACAGTTGTGTGGCAGAGCCTGTTTAGGCAGCATACAGGGAAGGCAGCCAGCCTTGTTTGGCTTTGCACTGCAACGAGAGGGAAAGCAGCTGGGTATTGCATATCCATGGTAATAAACAAGGTCTCTCACGGGGATTTTCCAGCCACATTAGCCTTCATGCAAAATAGATTCTCACACTCTCCCTCGCAGGCATTAGAGCCTCCCGGGCGGTGGGGATGTGCCTTGGGCCACATGAGCCCCATGGAGTAGAAGAGTAGGCAGTGAAAAAGGAGCAGGAGTCAGTTAATCCTGCCAGGCAGTGAGGGACTGGGTGGAGTGACTGTGTCACAGCCAGAGGGAGGCAGGACCAACAAGGCAACAAGACTATTTGGCTGCCCTCTGCTTCCAAGGCCCTTGGTCACACTGACCAGAGCTCACCCAGAGCTGGGGAAGGGGAAGCCCAACCCCAAAGGTGCACTCAGATGAGCTTGTTCTCCAGGACAAGGTATATAGTACACACAGTTCACTTAATTTATAACTGCCCTTTCTAGTCCTGGCCCTGCCTACACCATCACCCCCTCCACACACCCCCACCTGACAGCCAGGGACCTCCCCACAGCACCAGCAGAGCAGGATGAGGAGTGATCCTTCCTCTGTGCTGGCCCTGGGGAACCAGGAAACATCTGTCTGGGTCTTTCTGCCAGCAGGAACAGCTCTCAGGGCATTGGCTGCTGTTTTACCTGCTTACAGCAGGGAGGAATTTAGCTCCCAGTGACCCCCAAGGTTCCCACAGCCTTAGGTTTTCTCACAGAGTAAAACCCAGTGAGTGCCTGATCATGCACAAATCCGAGCAGGAACCAGGTTTTTGTGATTCCTGTCATCTGGGGGAACAGGAGGACCTTTCCACAATGTGCTGACATTCCTTTAGCTCTGCAATTGTGCTTTTCTTTCTTAAGTCAATGCTTTTGCACATGAAAGCTTTTTTTTCTGGGTAATAAGCATCCAGAGAGGAAAGCAAATGAGTGCCTCTGAGTTTAGTGTCTCATAAATCATTTTCCAAAAGCTGCTCTCAGATCCCAGCAGGGCCTATGGCCAGAGGTGGAAAAAAAAACAAAACCCTTGCTTTAGCCTCCAGCCTGCTCCTGCTAATGCTGGTCTTGTGGAAACAAGTTACCTGGAGGCTCCTCCACTGATCCTTGGATGCGTTTTCTTGGCCAAGTGAGGATCTGGCTGCACTGAGGGGTTCAGGTCATTCCCCAGGCCAGACAGTGGGACTGGTGGACACAAGGACAGTGCAGCCCCATGGGACCCACCCCAGAGGAGTGAAGGGCAGAGCTGGGTACCACACACACACTGCATTGCTGCTGTGAATCCCTTCCCTTCCCACCAAAGTGCAGCCACATCGGGGGAAGGAGCAGAGAGGTCACAATACACAAAACTCTGAACAAATGAAGGGAAGTGAAAAAACCCAGCCAGAACCACCATATAGTAACATCAAGGACAACTCTGCAAAGCACTCAGTGTCCAAAATAAGTACTGTCATTCCCAAAAGATGTGGGAGAAGTCAGACTATCCTTACTCATTTTAGATGCCACAGTCATCCATCTGAGCCTGGAGTTGACTTACACCTCTCTCGGAATGTTTGCTTCAACAAAACACAAAGTGTTGAGGATTAATGATTTATTTTGAGTCATTGGTGGAAGGCAGCAAAGAGCATCCAAAGCCAGTTCATAAATTGGGAAAGATTGCAGGGAAGAGGACGTGATGATTTGTCTTCCCCATCCCTGGGACTAGAACAGAAAAGTAATTGCCTTCATTTGCAACAAGGCCACTTAGGGGAAAAAAACCATTTTGAACAGTAACTGGAACAGATAGCAGTGGGAAACAGGTAAGATTAATAACTTCTGGAACACCCAGCCTTACCTGGCCCCACAGGTGCTGCAGCACAGCACCCACTTCCAAGGTCCTTCAGATTTTCCAGCCCATGGCTCACACCCAGGGACTCCCTCCCCCATCGCCCTCCAGCCTTTCTGAGATGTTCTGCCTCGGCGAGTCTCGATTAATAAACAAGATGGTAATGTTTTTATGTGGAAAGCAAAACACAGGATTAGTGATACTAGAGAACTATAATCAAACTGTTCCACACCAATGAATAATATATGTACAGTACCAAATGCTTGCTACACACCCCATGCCAATGCTGATGCGGTTTTTTTTATAATTGTTCAGGATAAATGAGCAATAAACACTTCCAGAAAGCTGTAGTGATAAATAAATTGAATTCGTTAGCCTATATATTTTCCCTAGAAGATGGCTAAAACTGCATATTTCACTGCAGTCTAACCCACACCCTGCCAAATTATTACACTTGTTACAAAAACCAGAGCCTAAAGAGACAAATCCCCAGTGCTGGAGCTTCTGGTGAGCAGGGCAGGGATTCTGTCGATCCCTGGGCTACTGCATCCTCCCCATCTCTTGCCACCAACCCATGAGGCTTCATTTTGTCACCTCCTGTTCTGTCATGAAAATAGCTCTTGGCTGCATCCCATGGCTCAGAGAGCCGGTCTGGCAAACCTGCTGTTGAGCCCAGGAGGAGCGAGGTCCTGAGCTCTGCTGGTGGGGATGGTGATGCACAGGGTGGCACGGAGAGGAGCAGGGTTTGCAGACTGCAGGGATGCAGTGGGAGCAGTGGCCCGCCCGTTTGAGGCTCTGCTGCGTTATTTACGTGGTGATACAAAGTAAAAGGAGTAGATGGAAACCCCCAAAGCTGCATTTTTCCTACGGAGCAGCTGCCTGGGCTGGGGATGTTTTGGTGACAGTGCTGCCAAGAGGCAGTGGCATTAAAGCAGGATGAAGGGGAAATAGGGGAGTAACATCAGGTATTTGTTGTTCAGATTCTCAGTGATGTTTCATGGTTAGTGCTGGAGCATGACTAGGCCTCCTAACTCTTAATTAATTAATTTATTTTAAAAACATGTGTCAGGGCACCTTTTCCAGCACAGCTATTTCTGAGATCCACATTTTTTGAAAGGCAAGTGGGACTGCTCTGATCCACTTCCACCTTTAACTTTTTTTTAACTCGTACATTTATTTTCTTAACTCAAGAGTTTCCCCAGTTTCAGCAGGCACGCCCCAAAGGGAGGAGCTGGCAGATGGCACAGGGCTGTGGGAGGTGCTGGCCCCACAGCCTGCCCCAGATCTCCCTCCTCTCCTTACACCTGGCTCAGCCAAGGCAGCACAGCACTTTTAACACATATTAAAATGTTAAACACTTAAAAGCATCTCTAAATAAAGAGTAACTGCTCAAGGTAGTTGAAGTATCTAAAATACCCTGTTCCCAGTGAAGTGGAGGGGAGTTTTGCCCAACTCCTCCACTGTGTGGTTGGTGAGGGTGGAGGCTTCTCTAGCCCAGCAGGTCAGCACTGCTGCTGAGCCCAGGGCTGTGAGATCAGCGGGCTCAGGACACAGCATCACCCTTGCTGCCCTGTCAGGGACCAGGCAAGGTTTTGCTCATCCAATCTCACATCTTTCCCCTCTGGGTGTGACCCCCAAATCCTGCTCAACCCACCCAGCCCCAGCAGCACTGCTGGGCAGACCCAGGGGAAGCTTCACTAACCCCCCCCAGAGATGCTCCCAGGGTCTGGATCTCAGCCAAGCTCATGGGTGGCCATCCCTGAGTGAGCAGCGAAAAGCAAAATTTCAAAGGGAACCTCCAAATTGTCTTTTCCATCCCCCTGAGTGGCCACTTGTGCTTGAAGGCAAGGACCATGGCAATTTAGCCCACTGAAAGCCCACCAAAAAAATGCTGGTGCCCACCAACATCATGGAATCATTTAGGCTGGAAAAGCTCTTAGGATCATCAAGTCCAACCATTAACACTTCCATGTTACCACTAAACCATGTCCCCAGCTGCCACATCTACACATCTTTCGAACACTTCTAAGGGTGGTGACTCTACCACTTCCCTGGGCAGCCTGACCACCCTTTCAGTGAAGTAATTTTTCTTAATATCCAACCTAAACCTCCCCTGGTACAACTTGAGGCCATTTCCTCTTGTCCCATCACTTGTTACTTGGGAGAAGAAACTCACTCCCACCTGGATCCACCCTCCTTTCAGGGGGTTGTAGAGAGCAAGAAGGTCCCCCCTGAGCACCCCCAGCTCCCTCAGTTGCTCCTCATCAGACTTGTGCTCCAGATCCTTCCCCAGCTCCATTACCTTTCTCTGGACATGCTCCAGCATCCATCAGCATCAGGTAAATCCTGTTCTAGCTCCAGCTTTTAGGGATCTCTCTTCATCCCTTAATGGCTCCACACAAAATGATTTCCAGCCACCTACTTGTGCCTTCCCCCATCCCATTCCTTAGCCCTGCCACAGGCAGGGAAACCCTGCTTTTCGTTCCAGTGCAGGGGAAAGCTCTCACTGAGCTGCCTGAGGAAATCAATAGAGCAGCAGGGGAAATCACAATGAAACCAGGAGCAGAACAGAGAAGCTCTGTGGACAATTCCCTCCCTCCCCACAGCGCACACAAGAGCAGGAATTCACTGTAGGAGGACTGCATTTAAAAAGAGGGATGGCGAACACAACCCGTCTGTGTTGAAGCAGAAATTCAGGGTGATGCAGAGGCACCAAAGCACATCCCATCATGAGGGGAAAGCCAGTGGTTACCACTTGTTTTATCAAAGCCTGTTCCTCTCACACACACATCCAGCTCCAAAGGCACAGAGGCCTCACACCGCTTTGGAAATGTCACTGCCTTTGTGTCCAGTGTGTCAGGGATGGTTAAACTCACAATATACATCTCTACTCAATACATGTTTGCAGAAGGAGAGGGAGGCAGGATGCTTGTCTGTACAAAAGCTGCAGGGGGTTGGTGGTACCCCAGGGAGATGCAATTCCCCTGCACCGTCTCACAGGGTTGAGCTGCTCCAGGGACTGCAGTCAGAAATGTCAGGGTTTTCCATGAAAGACTCAGAGAGGGGCTGGGGCTGGGCTGTGCCTGCTGTCCCATGCCAGGGTTATTTCTTAGTCACTCCAGCAAAAGACAGGCTTGAGTCAGTCCAGCTCCCACCCAGGGAAGCAGAGCAGCTTCCCAAATGGATTGTCCAGGTACAGCAAGACCACCAAAGCCATGGGCTCACCGAGGGCATTCGTGTGCCATCCTGTGAGAGCTCAGGGGGGCAGGTCCAGCCCCCCTGCACACAGAGCTCTCAGTTTGGGGAGGTACAGCCAGGGGGTCACTCTGCCATTCTCAAGAGCCCCTCTCTGTGTGTCCCCCAGTCCAGGAACAGTGGGCAGCAAGGGGACATGGACGGAGCCCGGCGACTCGGACGCATGGCCAGGCTGCTCAGCATCGTCTCCATCGTCCTGGGGACCATCATCATCGTGCTCTACATTTCACTCAGCGTCAGAGGTAACACTTCCTTCTCTTTTCCACAGCCCAGCTAGAGCAGGAACCTCACCTGGCTCCAATCCAGAGGATAGGACACACTTGCCCACCATCCACCACCCTGGGGTAGATGGAGCTCCATTCCCATCCTAACTGAACTGGGAGAGCACTAAACCCCTGCAGTCCAGGCTGGTTTGACCATCACCAGCTGCCCACACACATGCAAAACACCTCAGAGAATGGGTTCCTGGTAGTAACCACACACACTGTCCAAATGGCCAGCATGGAAAGCCCTCCCTGTGCTGTCCAAAGGGCTGTGGTGACCACGCAAGATCCCCCCGCTGAAAGGTTTTGCCCTGGCAAAAGCTGTGGTGGGTTTAGAAGAGTGGAGTGGGGTAAAAACAGAAGGGTTTCAGGTCACAAATCAACCTTCCCAGAAACACAGTCCCAAACCCACCTGCCAAACCAGCATGACCAACACAGCTCAGGCAAACAGGGGCCTCAGAAACATCCACAGCCCAAACCAGGAGCAGAAGGAAAACATCTGTGACCACTGGAAGCTGCCCTAAGACTCTCTTTCTCTTCCAGTTTCCTAGAAGACGTTTCAAGCATGCAAATACCTTGAAGAGGAGGAAGACAACTTTCCTTTTGGGGTTTTTACTTTCAGCCTTGCAACAAAAAAACCAATTGTCACAGTGTGGGTGGGCAGCCCTAGACAGCCTGCTCTGGAGCGCCGTCGGAAGGAACGCATGCCTCTATTCACTCTTGGAAATGAGTCTGTACAGGTGATGGGAGAAAAAACACCGGGAGAAGGAATGGGAAAGGCCATCGGACACCAAGCGGAGAGGAGAAGGGGGAAATCCACTACCTCATTCCCCTCCAGCAAAACTCACGGAGTGGGGAGACAACTAAAGTACAAGAGGAGGAGAGAGTTTCAAGAACGAAGCTTGTTTTAGCAGAAAAATTTCAAGGCCAGAACGGGACATTCTGAGGAATCCTCCTAAGGATTTTGGCACAAGTCACCGGACTTTTTTTGGGGGTTGTTGGTTTTTAAATCATCAAATTCTCTGTCTCTACAAAACAAAACAAAGCTCAAACTGCCATCGGGAGCTGAGAGCTGTTCCACGGAGGAGGAGGGAGGGCAGAGCTGCAGCAGGACCACGGCTCTGCTCCGCACGGAACGCAGCCACAAAAGCTGGAGGATGTGGTGGGTGCTTTTGTATTTTTGATGAAAAAAAAAAAAAAAGAGACAATGACCATTTGCATGCCTTTGGGAATGTTCTCCATGTCTGTTCCTACGAGCTCTTTTATCACTTAGGGCAGATCTCAGAGCTGGCAGAGCAGGATGTTGCTGCATGAGAACCCCAGGCTCCTCCTCACCCTGACCCCAAGGCGGGCTTTTCCATGGAAGGAAAGATAAGGTGTTCCCTGTGAACCCACACATTTCCCTCTGTGCACCCAAAGGGAGGTGCTCACGGCACCCAGACAAGAGCCTGGTTAACCTGTAGCAGCAGCACCAAGGCATGGACAGCCCATTCCATCCACTGATGTCACATCATGATGCTCGTGCAGAAGCTTCAGCGTGATCCAGCCCCTGCCACTGCCAGTGCTCACCTCCCTGACCCTTTGGGGCTCCAGCTTAGGGCCTTCCAGGGGATTTTCAAGGGCATGGAGGAGTTTTAGATCCCTGCTCCTCTCCCTGCACCCCTCACATGCTCTTCTGCATCGCTGGAAATCTCCGGTGTCCCCAGAGCTGTCCAGGGTCAGTTCCACAAGTTGTATTATTTTGTAATGTTTTATATTTAACATAACAAGAAAATAGACTTTGCTCCTCCCACTCTGCCTATAGGTACCACAGGCCCCACTATGTCTTCCACAGCACACAGCTCCCTTGGCCATTTCCCGTGGGATACAATCATGACACCCCCTGAAACCTCCTTCCAGCCCCACCCCTTCTCCTTCCTGCTCACCCCATATCCCTGCTGTGGGTTGTTCCTTGGGGTTGGCCCTCTACCCATCCACCCAGACTATGCAAAGTTTCATTGCCTGTTGTTTTAGTCAGGCTTTGTAGATGACTTCTGGCCACGTCCACTGGCTCCCTATTACCTGAGTCTCTTTTATCCAAACTTTGCTGACACGAATACCCGACCAAGAGCTGCACTCCCCGGCCTTTCTGCCAACCTGGGACCCAGAAATACGGACTGACTGGGAAATGTGGTCCTTCAGGGCACTTCTGCTCCCTCACACCCTGAAAAACACCCCAAACCTTCGACCAAATTCAGTGCTCCCGAGGGCTTGTCTACATGGAGAATCCACCACACACCCTAAGAAACTTCACAACACGGCAACTGCTTGGCACTGACTCCTTTTCTCTGGGCTGTGAATGGGCACAGGGGGTTAGCACAGGGTAGGGGTGAACTGTAAATCCACGCTGCAGTTACTCTGTAGTAACTAATGTGCAAAGCCACAGGCACAGCTGTGAAAATTCTCCTGTCCCCTGTTTGATTGCTCCTCTTTGAAGTGTTTTCTTTTGCCAGACATTATTTGAATCCAGGGGGTGAGAAAGCCAAATCCCCCAGACACGCTGTTAACAATGTTCTCTACGCTAGAAGGGATTCCAGGGACTCACAGCAATAGCACATCACTACAGCACTTCCTCGGGCTCCATTCCCATCCACCCCTTTGCCAGCACTTTATTACAAGCAACTGGCTTCTGAAAGGGACCAAATCTGCAATTTTTCTTTTCCAATTTATCTCTTGTGAGTTCAGCAAACAGGGGACCACTGAGGGCTGCCGGGTGGGAGCTCCCCCCTGCATCCTCTGTCCAGGTGCCCCTTGGCACCAGACCTTTTCCTCCCAGGCTTTTCAGAAACCCTCCCTTGGACGTTCCAGCTTTAATCTTATGGCTGTTGAAATCCCGCTGAATCTCCCAAACGTTTCCCTCTCTGACTCTTGAACCCAAAAGCTGCTTGATGGCAAACAGGTGTTATTCTTTAGGAGCTCCACAAAGGCAGTGCTGTCCTGTCCCTGCATCTTCTCCCTTTACCCACTGAGCTGCTGGAATTCAGCTGATGGGAAGAGCTGAGGAGGCTCCTCCTTGGGCAGGAATCGCCGACAAGTCAGGGAAAAGTGAGTTATGGGACTTGGGAGCACCAAGTGTTTATTAAGTAAGGATTCAAATGCTCTTTTATCATTATATAAAGCCTTTCATCTAAAGTGCTTGCCCTCATCCAAAGGATTAATCCCTGCCACCCCTCATGAGGTGGGTTCGCGTTACGCTGCTCTAATTGCGCGGATGGCAAATGCTCAGTCACAGGCACCCAACAGCTCCAAAAACATCCACCTTTTTCCTTCTCCTTCTTAATAGAACCATGCATGAACATAGATTTCCTTTGAATCTGATTATTCCAAAGGGACTTGGACAAACTAAACCCCACTACAGTTCAAAATGGACTGGGATACCTGCAGTCCTAGGAAGGAGGGAGGTGCTCTGTGAGGCAGCTGCAGTGGTCCTTGCCAGGAGAAGTCCCAAGCCAGGGAAGCACAGAGCAGTGGAGGTACCAGGATTCCCCTAAATGCAGGAGAAGGCAGAAACATTCACCAAAACCGCCATGGTGATGATTTGTTGACCACACCCAGACAGGGTTTGTTCCTCCTGTCTCATCAGGCAGCTGAGTGATGCTGTTAAGCATATTAAAAAAAAACCAAACTGAAACAATTAAATCCCCTTCATTCTAAAATCTTCTTTCTGATTAGATACAACTGTACTGCACTCCTGAACACTCCTGAAGACAGCTTTTTTTCTTATTCTGCACTTAAATCCAGAGAAAAGCCTCTACAGTTATCCCTGACAAAATATTTCCTCTGCTTGTAACCTGGCTTTCCAGTGCTGGAGAATCCAGGGATATGTGCAAAGTCCCATCTCTCCACCAGCTCCTCCACATGTTTTCCAGCCTATTTTGCAAAGGTTTTGCCACTTTGCTCTTCTCCACTTCACACACGGTTTTCTCCCAGCTCAGCCGCCTCTTTGGCTCTTTTGGGGTGGAATTATCTTATATTCATGAAGGAAGAGGTTGCAGAGCTCAGAACTCTTGAGGCCACCAGCAGGCACAGTCACTCCTTTGGTCTACACCCAGGGAACAACAGCGTTCCTCGTGATTATTTGCTGCTTTAGTGCTCATCTTAATGCAAGCATCTCTTGTTGCACATGCAGGCACAGCCACTCCTCTCCTTGACTTGGCTTTTAGCACAGGAGGGCAATCACAAAAACCACGTCACAAGACCTTCCCTCTCCATCCCCACAAACAAACCCTGTTACTTATCCCCCAGCTCTTTGCCACCTGCTGCAGCCTCCTCTAAGCACACACCACAGAGTGGAGTTTTCTGTGTTTGCAACTCCGACAGTCACGAAATCCTCAGGATCTGCCCAACCTGTACCCCTCGGTGAGGGAGAGGTGAGAGATCCGAGCAGCGTGGTGGCAAATCCAGCCTTACCTGACAGCAAAGCTGAGCTGGTGGGAGGAGAGCTCGCTGAAGGGCTGGAGAAGGTGGGAAACGTCTCTAAATGTAAGCTGAAGTAGGAGTTACAATCGACAAGTGTGAGGTCCTGGTGGGATATAAATACACACTTTGCACTGCTCGGGAAAGAGGCTCCGAGCAGAGCACGTGGCCCTGGCACCTCTCTGGCACTGGTGGCCCTGGGGCTCCTTTCCTGGGGGGTTTGGGGCAGAGCTGGGCTCCGGTGGGGGGCACAGAAGGGCCCTTGCTGGGTGCAGCAAGGCTGGATCAAAGCCTGAGGCTGAACCAGCAGTTTGCTGCTGCCGAGCAGATGAACCGGCCTGGCTTCGCAGCAGCTCCTCGTAGGATGCCACGACTGAGGGTCAGGAAAGGTCTGGCACAAGTCAGTGGGTCACAGCAACACGCTGGCAGGTGCCTGCAGAGGAGACCAAAGGGATCTGAGCACAAAGGGAGGAAAGAAAGCCACAAAAGGAGTTCAAGGTTTGCTATGTTCAGGATGGGTTTGCTTTTTCTGGTCAGTATTTCACCCTGTTCCAGTTTACCCCTCTCCCCCCATCTCTGCTGGTTTCCCGTGGTTTTCCTTCAGCATTTCTACCCCCAGAGCAATGTGTGAGTCCCACAGGCTCCTTCCTCCCATCCTCTGTCTCTCCTTTAACCAGGACAGGTCTTGCTGGCAATGACACGTCATGGCTGGGCTCCTCTGGAAGGGGTTAGCGAGGGCAGGGAGCCTCTGACCTGGCTCCCTGCAGAGCCCAGCACGTGGTACCTGACCTTCCCAGCACACACTTCTCCACCTAGACAAGGGGAGCAGATCCTGCCTTTTATAGAAAATTAAACCCCCCTTTCTGTTCATTCTGAGCCCAGGAATAGGCTGCAGAAATGCACCCAACTAGGCTGGCTCCATGACTGCTTTTTTTCCTCCCCCCCAGATCCGCTCACCCTTGCCCTGTCACTTTGTTACTTATCACGGAACCACAGCCAGGGTTGCACTGTCAAGCTCAAACAATTCAGATTTAAGATGGTTTTTCATCCTTTAATTTTGGCAAAACCAGTTAGGTTTGGACTGAAAAAAACTCCCCTGCTTGGGCACAAGCTCAGGGGGTGTGGGGGGGGAAAGCAGCCTTTTCAAAGTGGGAATATTTGTAAAGCATTTGCTGACACCAGTAGATAGCGAAATTCAAACCTATAAATACCCATCCAGGATAAGAAACATCAGAAAGTGAACGTGTGAAGGATTCACCAAGGCAACCCTGATCCCACCTGGGAGCAGGGGCCCTTGTTAGATGGTGCCAGGACATGATCCTTGGTGTGGAAGTGCAGGGTCCACCCCTCCACTGCCACAGCCACCATCCACACACAGCATGAACACACCAGGAACTGCAGCTGGGTGCTTCTCTTTGCTGATAAATGTTTCTTTTTCTGCAGGATGGTATGGTATATCTTATATACTTTCTTTGTATTTCTTGGCATGAGAAAAAAAAAATTAAAATGTAACATGCATGGTCAAAGCTGAACTGGTTTCTTCTGTCTAAATGAGAAAAAAAAATTATCCAAGCTACTCATTTAACTGTTGCTTCACACTCCAAGAGCAACCAGTTGGTGTTTTGGGTGCAGTGGGCTGCAAATAATATGTACAGGCAAAGAGCAGAAGCAAACAGCACAAGTCAGAGCAGAGAGAGGTGCAGAGAGATCGCCTCGTGCTGCAGGGACAGGCAGCACCTCGGGAAGCACAGCTACTGTGGGAGGTCTCTGCCAGCCAGGGGAAGGAAATCAACCCTCCTTCCTTGCAGGGCACAAGGACGGGATGGGGAGCAGTCCCTGGAACTGCTTCTCACCACAGCCCTGCCACTGCAGGCCAACAGCCTGGTGCAGAGCCCAGAGCAAATTCCTAATCTGCTGGAAAACCAAAATTACTGAGCGAAAGCACAGATTTCAGGGGCGCACAGCAATATTTGGTCTCCTCTCACAGAGCCTAAATGCAAAGTTTGATAAGCCAAGGCTTGAAATTCAGCCATTACCAAAAACACTGGCTGTGGTCTTTTCCCAGGAGTTGTTCCAACCAGACTGGAAGGCTGTTGACTGTGTCACACCCCCTGGGGTCACTACCAGAGTTTATCTGTGTGTAACAGCACACTGGTCACTCAAGGCTACTGGTCCTTGTTGAAGCTGAGGGACACAACCCCTTCATTCAGCTGAATCCCAGCACTCTCCCCTCGCTGTGCAGCTCTGGGATCCTCCAGGAATGAATGGCAACACAGCTCCCAACCCAGCCCAGCCTGGAGAGAAAAGACTTGCCAAGTCTGCAGTGAATTAGCTGTCCTGCACAGCTCTCTGCAGCAAACACTCAAGCTGTCCAGGCTTCAGCACAGGGTAGGAGGTAACACAGTCTCACAGCTTCCCGAGGACAATTCCCTCGCTCTCCCGGAGAAGCAGGACACACATGGGAAGGCAGGTGCCACCAGCATCAGCAGGGATCAAAAGTGAAGCTTTGTGGCCCCTGATATCAGGCACAGCACTTCCACTTTCATCCCTGTCCGTGATGGAGAACGATAGATGTAAACCCTGTGTGAGGTTGGCAGGCGCAGAGTGATTCAGCAACAACCGGATTTAATGGCCCTGCCCGGAGCACATCCTGCCCATGGAATTTCCTCCATGGCAGGGGCAGGTCCCTTCCCAGCACTGAGCCACCAACACCCAGGGGGGCCCTGACAGAGCCCATCAGCAAGCACTGGAGGGGAACAGAGCCAGTTGTGGGACTTGCTGTGCCCACGTTTAAGAAGTGGTTCCAGCCGTGTTGGTGAGGCAGAGAGCAAACAGACCAACCTCTGTGGTCCAAACCCCTCTGATGTGACACAGTCAAGCTCTGGCCTGTCATCTGCACTCTGACAAACACCTCGTTGCCCTTCTTAAGGATGCAAACTGTAGGGGGCTTTTGGGGCATTGAAAAATTAATAAATAGGAAAAACCTGCAGGTACTCAAAGCCGGAGAGGATGGAGATTAAATGTTCGTGAACTCACAAAAACCAGATCTGTTACCCTCACATCCAGCTCAGAAGCTGAGCAAAGGAACAGTAATTAGTCCTTCTAGATCAGCTGCTGTCCACAACACAAAGCTCAGCCCCTATAAGCCAGGCTCAACGTTGGATCTGTCCCAAAGGTTTCCTATGGATCAGGCAGCCCTGCTACATCACTGCCCAAGCAAACAGTGAGACAGAGCTGCTCCACAGCCTCCAACACACCAGCAACTTGCTCAGCCTTCCTGTTTATCCCACAGCCCTTCTCCTACACTACATCACCCCCCTCCCCAGCTCTGCAGCTCACTAGGGCATTTTTAACAAATTAAGACTATTTCTTTGGTGTGTCCATTCCCCGTTGCTTCGAAAACCACAAGTCTAATTAGGTCTGCTGGGTCTTACCCCTGAGCACCCTCCCCTGTAACACCACCTAAATCAGTGCTCTTGATGTTTAGTTTCCCACCCCAGGGCTCAGATAGCAGCTGCTAAACCTCTAAGAGCCATCAGCTAAGATTAATTACTCACAGCCATGCAGGTCCAAATTTACACCACACTACAGCTACTCCTGTTTTACACCAAGGCTGGACTATGCACAGAGCTCGTGTTACTCAACTGCAGCATCTCCCCACTGCCTCTGCTCACCCAGCAGGGCAAGAGGCATCACTGCCTGCACAAGGGCTTTGGCAACACAACTGGGATTACAGGGCAGGTCCAAAGAGCCACATTTATTTGTCCTGATGAATAAACAAAATACAGATGTTTAGGAAGTCAGGTGTAATTTCCTTCCCACTATCCAGCAAAGCAAAGGGGGTTGTGGTTGGGGTGGGTGGTACCTGTGCATAACAAAAGACTGGGATGGAGGGGTCTCAGTGGGGAAAGCTTTCGAGGAACAAGAGCCATTTACATCCCAGCACCACAGTGATGTCTGAGGCTGCTTTAAACCATCTTCAGCCTTCTTTGTGCACTGCTTAAAGAATTCAGCAGGCGAGGAGACTGAGCAGAAAAAAAAAGCAATGGTTTTGTGGTGGAGGAGGAGGATTTGACTCACATAAACCTCCCCCACCATGGAGAGATTCCCCTTCAGTGGCGAGATTCCCCTCGGAGCATCCTGACCATGTCACCGCCGCAGCCGGGCAGATGCAACTTCCAGACTTCAAAGGCAGGCTGGGCTCTGATGTTTCGCTAAAGAGGAGGCAGAGCCAAGTGCTTCAGCTCCTGTTTTATTAATACCCTGCTCTGATGGGCTCATGTATAATAGATTTGCAGAGGAACAGCAAGAGGTTTACATCCAATTTCCATGTTGCATACGTTCTCTGCTCAACATTATAGGCTCTCCCTTTACCTCTCAGTGTTTGTCTTCACTAATGAATTTGCATGAGTTTGGGGTTCAAGCAAAGGGCAAAAAGTTGGCCACCAGTTCTTTAACTGGTTTCCATGACTTTGCTCCAGTCAGGAGCTGTGAACTAAAAGCACAGGGAAAACATTTCCATTTTCTCCCTCACTCCCAACACCGGCTGCTGTTGAGAGAGAGCAGCTCAGGATTCCTTGGGCTCGCTCAAAGCCATGCACAGCCTCTTGGGAAATCATTTGGGAAGTGCTGGAGTCAGAGCCCTGGGGCAGCAGCACGGTGCAGTGGCAGTGGGAGAGCTCAGGGCTGCAGAGGTGCACACAAACATCCTGTCTGCAGAGATGTGCAGGATTCACCAACACCAGGCCAAAAAAGAATGGACTGCACCCCAAACTTCCCCCACCCCTGCTCACAGAACAGCTTCTTAGCTGCAGAGATTAAAAAAAAAAAAAAAGATGAAATTTAGATATGTGGTTCCCCAAACACACTCCTGGTAGACTCCAGTAAAAAAGCAGAGAAAAAATGAATTAGACTTTGTGAGGGTGCCAAAAAACTCTGTCTTACCTGTTTTCCTACCCAGATCAAGCAGATCCCGCCCCCTTACAGATGAAGACTCTGCTTGCTGCCTCCAGTTCAAAGCTGTCACTGCTCCCCTGTGACGCAGCCACAGCTCCTGCATCCACACAGAGGGACATGGAATCAGGAGAGAGGCTGATCACAGAATCACTGGAGCAGGAAAACACCTCTAAGGTCATCCAGTCCAACCCAGCACTGCCACGTTCACCACTAACCATGCCCCCAAGTGCCACACACTTTTTGAACACTGCCAGGGATGGGGATTCCTCATGATCTTACTCGGTAGATGTTCCTATCACATCTCAGACTCACCTTTTTTAATCAGACAAGACATATTTGACAGACTTTGCAGAAGTTTGGGTTAGGTGGTGAGGATTTAGGATTTACATAATGGAGGAGAGCCTGGGAATTGCATCAGCAGCACAGGGCACTGCTCTAAACAAGGACCTTTCCTTTAGTGTGGTTACTGCTGGATCCTTCCGAAGATGAAACCTCCCAGAATACCTAAAATAGAGAAACGGGGATTTCTCCATGAGCTGAGCTACCGAGTTTACACGCTAAAAAAACCCAACCAACCCACAACTGCTGGGCCCTCATTGTTTCCAGCTTAGCTGTGATGTGAGGCTGCTATTCTTGGTCAGGAGCTGCAGAACGCTCCTGAAGCTTGCAAAGTTGTTTGCTTTAATAGCACACAGCGTGAAACAAAGCAAAGACTTCCCAGCAAAATGCCTCCTTCTGCTGAGCTCACTGCACCTCGCTGCCGCTTGGAAATGTTTCATTACAGGCTGCGGATTCCAAAGCGTTTTATTCCAGTTATTTGGTCTCAGGTACAATTTAATAAAACCTGTGTTTTGTCCTCCTTCCCAGCAAGGTTTAATGCAAACAGATCACTCTGCCAATTCCAGATGGGCAGAAAAACAAGCCAGCACCTCATGCCCTGCACTGTTTTTTGTTACTGGGCTGCAGAGGTACACAGGTACACAGCAAGCAGCAATAAAACAAAAGAAATGTTGATAAGAGCTGCTTATCAACAGATCCTTAAAGCAATGCTCTATTTTTACCTTGATGCTTGATTGCAAAGCACAGAGTGGGTTATAAGCTGAAGCGTCCCAAAGAACGAGTGAACAGCTGAGGAACAGCTCTCCCTCCCCTGCCCAGAACTCCCAGAGCACAGTGAGCCCAGCACTCACCTCCCAAGAGCTGTGACAGCCCCACAGCTGCAGCAGGAATTGGGCTGCTGAGCTAAGGAATGTCTTTCCCTAAGGAAGCACAGCAGAAGCTCACTCCCCTGGGATGTGGTTGTGGTTAGACCCAAGGATGCTGGTGGTGGTTCAGGGGGGCCAACACCAGCCTGTCTGCCATGGCAAAGGCACAGAGATGCCCTGCTGGCACAGACTCAGCTGACTCCAGGACCTCAGGTGTTCAAGACCAAAACAGACACGGGCACCTGAATGAATGAAAGAGATCCAAATACCAAAATCCCCCCAAGTAACATCTCTCCCATCCCTCCTTTCCCCTCCCAGAGGCACTGCAGCACAACTCCACCTGAAGCAACCCTGAAGCATCAAGAATTGGTCGTCCCCCAGTGTTTGTTTTTTATCTTAAAACAATTTCATCTAAGCCAGAGCGTGGGCTTGAATAATTATCTACATTTCCTGAGATGTTTGGAAACAGAAGCAGAGCTGGCCAGCAGATCCCTCAGTCCTGCTGTAAGGAACACACACAACCTGAAGGCACAGTCACTACATGAATACAAAGGCCTATTTATGTTGAGAAGGCGGAGAAACACCAGGAATGGTCTCACTGCAGCCCAAGCCCCTCCACCCTCCTGCCTCTTTCCAAGCTGTGTTTCTTTACATAAGCAGTGCATGCTTTTATAGACCTGACTCACAAAGCTCCCCACCTCAGTAATATTTTGGAGTAAATTTAGCACTGGTGATACACGCCTGACCTAGAGGGAACTCCATTTAAAGCACGGCAGGCAGATATCCACCTATCCGCCCTTCTGCTCTTGGATGTTCTCCTGCACCCAGGAGACAGGCTGAGGAAGTCCCAAGGTCAATCCAGCCTCCCCTGACACTGGAAAGGGGGGGGGAAACTCATGGGATCCCCCACTGGTTCAGCACCACAACACAGGTACCCACCAGTCTCCAGGGGACAGGGACCCTGCATGATGCAGTTACTTTTTAATGTAATAAATTACAGTTTGTGTTAAAGCTGGACCTGCCAGGGACAACTGATCAGCACTTTCCCAGCTACTCACAATTTCATTTCACACCTGCAGTATTCCTGAGCATCCTGCAGAGTCTTGAGAAAAGGTTCCCTTAAAAATTTGACGTTTCAGCAGCATTTCAGCCTGAAAGCAGCCAGCTCAGCACAGGTCTGGAGGCAGAGGGATCTGTAGCAGATGACATGCCCAGGGCACAGGTACCAGCAAACATCTTAGGGAAGTTTCCACTGTACAGCTGGCAGCTCAATGGGACTTTGCAACCTGCAGCGAGGAGCTTCTATTTTCAGTGCAGCTTTAGAATGACTGAAAGGAGAGTAATATTGTTCCCACTTCCAAGAATTCCGCTTCAGACAGATGGGTATGGGCAAGGAAGATAAGAAATAAAACAACACCTAAACCCTACCTATTTACGGCGTTTGTGGGAGAGCACCATGCTGTGCTCGTGCACCAAAGTGGTTACCAGTGAATTTTCTTCAGGTGTGGCTTTGATTGATAAGCTTCAAGTCACCCTGGACAGCCTTTGTGCGCTTCAAAGTAAGGATGGATTTGTTTTAAAAAGAAAGGAAAAATCATGAAACCAAAAATCAATTCAGGTGTTTGAAATGCCTGGTTGAAGACAAACAACCCAGGAGGGAAGTGAGGAGAACTGGATGGGCAGAGAGCAGACACAGCAAGGCACAGCAACAACACAGGATGGAAGATCTAAATGGGCCATGATGGCAGGAGACCTCTCAAAATCACACCCCTGGCTGACAGAGGGCTCACAGGGTGCAGGAGTCAAGGCAACCAGAAAATAACCCACCATGAGAGAACTGCAAGTGCTGTTTCAGAGGCACAGACACTCTGACTGCAGCCAGGCTGCTCCTGCCTTACTCCAAACTGGGTTAGCAAAGCCTCGGGGTCCCATTAGGAACAAAGAACACGGAGGGCTGCGACAGGGAGGGACTGAGCCAGGGCTGAGCAGCAGCAGCACACGCTCCAGCAGCCTCAGCAGCTTGCAAGGAAGGGGAAGATGAAGGCAACAGCAGGCTCCGAGTGTTTAATGAGCACAGCCCAGATGCCAAGGCACGAGCGCTGGCAGCACCAGCTCCTGTACCTGGAGATGGTGGATAAAGGGCTGGCACGCAGGAAACGGGAATACCCACTGTAAGCACTGAGGGTTTGCTATTAAAACATTCAAAAATCGAGTCCAAGGAGCTGCACATCGCCCACGTTCAGCGAGACGGGGAGGGGGGGAAAACAAAGCCACTCCTGTCTCTCCGTATGAATCTCTAATGGAGCGCTCGGGCTCCCTTTCAGCAGGAAATCTGCTCATGGAATGGCACCAGGACCGAAGGAGCAGAGCACGGCTCATCCATAATGCAGGAACACCCACTGTGCCGGAGCCTGTCAGGAAGGACAGCAGTTTGCAATATGAACAACAGCATTCTGGGAGGCGGATGGTTAAAAATATATAGCGTATGCCTGGGCCACTATAAATTATTGACTGCACAGGGAGCTGGAAAAAGGGATTCAGTGCCATTAATAATTTATTTTCTAATCCAAACGAAGATGGAATTTTATGCACCACTTATTACCAGCGCCACAACTGGAGAAACGAGCTGCACTCCCCACTGTCTGAAACCAGAACTGCCTTTCCATTTGCAAAAGTTTTTTTGAAGTTTCTTCCTTTTTTTCCCCTTGGGAAAGCATCTGGTCACTCCTGAATATTTAGCAGGCATTAAGGATACAGAAATGTATCTCTGCTTTAAAGGACAGCTCTGCCATGAGATTTCCCTGTCTCCACCTGGAGGCTCACGCAGACAGACGGGGATCACCTGCCAGGCAGCTTCGCTGGTTTGAGAAAACAAATTTGAGTGACACTGAAAGATTCAGCATTGAAATATTTAGATCTTGATATAAAGATTGCAAGACCCCCCAGGTACAGATGGATCCTTCAGGCACGGCACTGCCTTGTTTGAACACCTGAGCAGGGAGCTGGACCAGCCCACAGCAGTGCTGGAAAACCACAGGGTAACAGGGTCCTGTCTGTCCTGAACACAGAACTTCACAGAGAGAGATTTTTAACACTTACCTCTAAAGAAAACCATCCTTGTCCCACCTGTCAAGGAACAGCAAGAATACACATCATGACTGTAATCACAGGCAGGAGAAGATGAGTCCAGTTTCCATCACACCAAGCATTTTGGGTCAGGAAATGCTCCATCACCTCTGATATTTGGTATAAAGCTGCAGAACACATTAACTGGTATGTTCAGGGACAATTCCAAAGTGGTGAGATGAATCTTCTGCATCTTCCCTGAAGTTTAGGTTTAAGCAGACTGTCGATGGGGGAAAGAACCAAGCACCTTGCTTAGAATTCTAATTTATTATTAAATTACATATCAAAGCCTTTTTGTTTAATACATAGAGAAAATGCACAATAGGTGAGAACAAAAATAGTTACAGTTACAGTAGAAGTTCCAAGAACGTATATGAAAAGAGAAAAATCAGAAAGTGCAATCAGAAACTCATTTACAAGGTCTGGGATATTTTGTGAGAAAGGGCTTTGTTTTGGGTCTAGAGTGTTCATTTAATTGCTTTCCTCACTCAGTACCAGACAGACCAACAGCTCCTTCTGTACTCAGAGCTGAAAGCATAACCACTGGTTCAGCTGTGCAGTGACAGGAGAGGTGCAGGGCACAGAGATGTCACCTAGAACGTGGCTCAGGTTTGGCTCAGTGTGTCCCTCACTGCAGTCTCCTGTCCTGCACGTTGCTCTGAAGGATTTCATCATTCCATGCTGCTGTAAGGAGTTTCAGAATTATTTCCTCCCTCAGCAGTGACACAGCTGTTACCTCTCCTTCCTGTTTCTAATGAAAGCTTTGGGACGAAAAGTAAAAATAGGAAGATTACACATCAAGTGATCTTGGGAGACAAATTGCTATGCTTGGGGTTAAACCAGTTGTGACTGAACGAGCTGCACCATCAGAAGTGGTGGACCAGCCTTGGCTCCAGTTTTGGGAATGCAGCACCTCAGGGGACACAGCCCTGGGGGACAGGCTGCCAACAATTTATCTGACATTTTCACATCACTTCAAAATCCACTTCTGCTCTTTCATTTTCAACATCCAGCGAGGAACTTGACTCTTCTCACAGTCACCATAAGACCCTTCCAAGAAAGGACTTCTAAACTAGCAATGAGAACTCTGCTTGACATGAGCATCCAGCAGGAGTTAATCCCTCACTTCGATATGCAACACTCCCCAAACCAATGCTGTTCAAGAAAGGATGTTGTGGCTCCCCAGGACGGGCAGATTCATCTCCCCAGCAGTGCCTGCTCAAACCCTGCCTGCCCCTCACTCCTGCACTGCCCTGGGGAGAAGCCACAGCTGCACCCCAGGCTGTGCACACACAGGGGGCTGCCCAAATGCCACTGCTCTGCCCCAGCAACCAGAGACTGAAGATCAGGTAAACATGTCAAGAAACAGCCCAGAGAACACAGATAAAAACATTCCCATCCATGTCAAGCAAAGTTATCAACACCATCCCTTGTGCTCCAGTGCCTGGCCAGGCTGGAAGGAGCTGCTTGTGTACTGGGAAGAATGAAGCAGAAATTTAAAACCAGGGTGTGAAATGTGCCCTGCAGAAATACTGTGGATTTTCTCCCTTCCTTTCAATGCTCAGCAATAATTTTCTTAGCACAGTTCTAGCTGGTCGAGTTACGAAACTGCCACTCTGGCAGGAATTGCAGAAATGAGAATTCTTTAACCGCATCTCTTTTTTTTTCCCCCCTTTAAAGCACGAGGGAACCACACAGAATGAAAAACTTGGAGGACACATTTAGCAACAGGAGACACACAAACCTATATTTTGGGATTTGAGATTAAATACTACGATCCACTGGTTTCGTTTCCCAGCCCGTTGCTCTGATCACAGGTCCAGGTTATTAGAGATGAGTTATTAGGCTGAGCCTCCTGAATTAACAAGTCTTTCCCTGGGCCAGATGCAAACACACACTCCAGGGAGCACAGCACAGCACCCGCTCACACTGCCAGGGGAACACAACGTGACGATGAAGGGAAAGCTCCAAGGGTAATTAAATGTCTTTTCAACACAAAACTGACTCAAAACCAACACAAATCTGACTCAAAACCAACACAAATAAAAACCATGGAGGGGCTGCCAACACCGAAACCATTTCCAGTAAAGCTTTATCAGAGATAATTCAGCATATTTCCATTATTTTATACTAAAATATATCGGTTCCTCCGTAACATTTTCATAACATGAAAAATCAATTATGTTTACATATTTATTATAATCTACATATTTCCCATAGCAGCTTTTTCACACAATAAGATTAAATATATGCACCAAATAATCAGTTAAGTCCAGTAAAAAGACTTGTTATAAGATTAAATAAATGAATTTATTTACGGTACTGCAGATCTTATATTGCCGACTATACAGCAACCAAATCCTACAAATCCTAAACAGATGCACAAGTGCTGATCAGGGTCCCTTGGGGTGGAGGAGGAATCAAAGAAAAGGCAACAGGGAGAAAAAAGATTTGATCTCCCAACACGCAGATCCAGCAATAAACCTCCTTTATCCATCGAGCTCTTTCCTAAACCCCTTTAATAAACACTTCAGCTCCAAGCAGGAGCATTCCCAAATCAACCAAATAATCACCCTTTATTTAAAATACAAGCCCCACAGTTTTACACGTATTAATTCCAAAATGCTCCCTAATCCCATCGACGGGATGACTGATTGGAGGCCTTTGTTGACTTTTTTTTTTTCAGCACAGAGTTATTAGTCTGCAAAGAAGCCTCTCCAAATCCTGACAAACATTTTGGGTGTAACAGTGTGGTTTTACACACTACACAGGCACAAGTCTCTACTCCCCCCCAAAAGGTACTCACTGACACTATAAAATGCAGTAAAAAATTGCATCTGCCCCGCTGGACTCTGTTCCAGAGGAGAACCCGGACACTGTGGGACGTTTGTGGGTGATGGCAAACATGGGATCTGTTGGGAATCTGTTAGGAGCACTGTCAGTGGGCTGGGAAAAGAGTTAATCAAGTTCTTAGAAAGACATTTCATCGGGTTATGATATGAGAGATGGAAAAGTGCTGCTGAAAGAGCAGAAAAACCCGTTAATCGGGGAACCTGCGACGTCAAAGCCATTCCTGACATCATCTTTCTTCAGAGACACGAACACCACAGGAATCTTTCTGCATGTCTGGACTGAAAAAAAGTGGTTTCCCCCCTCCTCAGATAATGGTAAGTAATACTTGTTTCACTGTTCATACATTCAAACTCTTGACTGGGAGGAGTTCTGTCCAAACCCTTTGCACAAAGATATGTTTGCCTCAGGTATAACCATCGTAATTTTCACTTCCAATTGACAGTTTAGATTATATCCTTCTTACAGTGTAAAAACATCAGCGCTATCAGAACAACTTTACCTAAATTGCAACATAGGCTTGGCAAATTGCTCACCGTGTCTTTGTAAGGACCTCTGTGACACCAGCCAAAATCAAAAGCATTTACACCCAAAAGATACCTTTAGGTGAACTCATGTTTGGTCACTTTTCGGATGACTGAACACCAGAGTAAACAGCTGCTTGGGCACTGCGCTCCCTGTTCCACAAAGGGGGACTTGTCAGTCCCTTTAAAGCCACAAGAAACCTTATGATCTCCCCTCAGAGGGAACTTTATTCATACTCTGTGCAAAAACAAAAAAAAAAAAGAAAAGAATGTAACAACCCTTCTCTTTTAACTTGGAGGAATTTGTGTGAAGCACGGTTTTCACAGCACGGATTATGCAGAAATAACCAGAATCTCAACCAGGAGTTAAAAAGAATTACAGAACATTGTATTTAGTAGTAAAGCAACCTGAGGGCTTAAAGCTGCAATATTCTTCTCTCAGGGTGATAGTGTTCAGTGCTGGGATTGGATTTCAGGGAAGCAGGTCTTCCTGCTGCTTCCACCCAAGGCAAATCTAACACTACTCCTTTTCCACTCACCAGACCTCCTCAGCACCGCTGAGCACTGCAACTGTTCTACCAGTCCTGGTAAGTGTCCTGTATCTACTTACCTTGCAGGGAGAAAGGGAAACTAAAGACAAAACAAATCCCACCAAATTTAACCAAAGATGTGTGGCAGGGAAGGAGAAACACTGCAGCTGCAGCCCAAACCCAGTGTCACAGTCTACCATCATAAGCTCTGGACATCATGCTGACAGTCCCAGCCACGGAGAGCAGGCTGTGGAAGTCTGGTGCTTCCCCCACTCCCTGTTCCTGGGCTGGGAGGAGGGAAGGTGGTGATGAGTTTTAGCAGAGTCCAGGGGGGGAAACATCCATCAATGAAAAGCGTATAAGAGCAGTAAGATGGTACAGACGCCGATAACGCCGCCCAAAATGAAGGAGTCTCGTCGTTTCCGAAGGTTGATCCTTTGAATCAGGCTGTTCACTGCTGGAAACCGGTCTGGGAGGGGGCTGAGTCAAGGTCATACCCAGCAAACAAACAAAAATTCACTAACAAGCCTTAAAAACCTGCATCTGGAAGTGCCAATACTGCAAGAAATGCAGAACTGCTCCCGAGCTGGAGAAAGCAGGAGCAGTAAAACCTGATGGATAGTGAGCAGGATTACAACTGTGTTCAGTGATTACAGACCATCAGAGAAAAGTGAGCAGCTCAGAGCTCACATTTACACAGAATTCATCACCTGATCACCTAAATCACCAGTGTTTAATATATTTAATCTCCAGTATGTGAGGCTTAGTTACTTTTAATAATTGTGTTTAAATGAGAATGAAAAAAAGAGAAATGGGGCAGTTACATAAAGCATCTGTGGAATTTCTTTAATGGAATTCTGTTACTGGTGAAAGGGAACAACCAAAGGCATTTGACTGAGAAAACCCTGCACTTCTCACGGCCACACACTGTGCAAGTACAGCACATAAGGAAGGATCCCTACTGTAAAACCATGAGGGATGTAAACCTATCTTTTAATGTACAAAATACAACTGAGAAAAAGACAATCAGCTTCGTGTCTTTAGAAGCAAGGACCTTTTAAGCCCAAAGCTTATTTACCTGTTTTTGGTGCTCTTGCCAGCTGCTAAAGAACTGTAATGAAATTTATGGGTTACCAAGATTCGCCTCTCCAGGATGTGATGAGCCTGATCAAACGATGCCCTTCAAGACAGAAAGGAAGGAATAAGTGGGAAAACAACAAACATGCCTGACTTGACAAGCTGGCACATTCTTTAGCCATGGCACAGAATATGAAGAGAACCCAACAGCACAAAATTTTCATATCTGAAGGACTGTGACAGACAAGAGGAACCTCAGGCACTGGATACTCTTAGCTGTGAACCAGAGCGAGCAGTGATGCACACCAAGCTTCAGCTTTCCTGAAAGCAAAAAAGCAAGAACTGAAATGAAATCACACTTCTAGAGAAAAATGCAGCAGGGAAGGCCATAAAATGCTGTTGCAGATCTCTACCTGAAAATTAAGCTCCGTCCTGCAGTGCCCAAATCTGAGCAAAACCAACTTATTCACCACATTCCCCATGAAGAAGCTTCAGTCAGATTATCAAATGAAACTGGTGAAAAACCAGCCCGTTTGCCAGTAATGACAGCACAGGTTATACAGCCACTGACATCCCTGATCCCCAGATGACAGAGTGAAAAATTGTACCATAACTCTTCTTCTGCACTGGCAGCACAAATTTTTAGGAAAGGATACTAGCCAAGGTATTCATCTTGCTTTGTATTGACTTCAACATCCCCCTCTGCGAAGTCATATTTTCTTTAGTTGCCATGGCAATGCTGGGGAAAGAAAAAGAGGATCAAGTTGTTGGTGCTAAGAATAATCCACAGCTCAAACAAGAGGAGAGCAAGCAGGCAACGCTTCTTTGGAGGACAATGAATGAGGTGAAGCAACATGAATGAAAGCACAATTTTTCCATTAATCTCCATCTTTTACACTTAAATGATTTCTCTTTTATGAGCCGTTAACAAAGGAAAACACTGAGATTTCTGGAAACAGGCAGATCTCCTCCAGCCCCAGTGAAAACTGGTACAACCTCATAAGCAAAGTAAGAACATTGTTTAACTCTAAAGCAATATTCTAAAGAATATTAACTCTTCTGGTTTAAGTTTTACATGCAGAAGTTTGTTTCCCCCCCATACTCACCTTCACCCTGGAGAGCACGTGAGCTTTGTGTGCCATCAGGATACGATGGCTACACAAGTATTCAACAAATAAGAGCTGCCCCACAATTAAAAATCAATTTGCAAAGCAAACATGCTGGTTGAGGAGATGTCAGAGCAGTTTGAGACCCAACACAGCTCAGGGAGCCTCCCTCAGAAGGTTTCTGCACAACCAAGCTGAGACATGCAGCCACCAGCTCTCTGAAGATGTTTAAACACAACAAAGTGTTGGGACGTTCTTGCTTTGTCTCAAGATTGAGGCTGTTCCCTGTTTGCAGAGCTTGGGTTCTCCTGCACTGCCTCTTCCCAGCAAGGCCAGGTCACCTTTCTGAGGTTTGGTCCTAATTAAGGATATCCTCCATGGGGACAAAAGTTTCCACTCTCTGTTTCTTTACCCATACGTGCCCCAGCTGTAGGTATTTTATCCAAATACGAGACCACAACACAGGTGGAACATAAACCAGAATTTCCCATTTCAAATTTAACACAGAAGCAGAAAAAAAAGCTCTTCAAAATAAGATATTAAATAAAGATTATAAGGAAGTGCTCAGCTGACAAGTTTGGGCTCTGGAGGCACGGTGATTAAGAAGGAACAGTATGGCAAATACTGCTCTGCTTGCTGGCATGTGTTTCAAAAACACACAGAGTAGGACATAAATACAACAAGGTTGGATCATAACTCAGAAAAGTCACCTCCACTGCTGCTGAGTTTATCTGCAGTAATAACAATGATTAAAACAAGTTCTTGGACAAGTTTGTGAGCCTTAAATATGAAGGGTAAATGTTCTGGAAGAATAAAAGTGAAGTGGAACAACACGATACAACAGATGTAAATACAAGAAAAGGGAATTAAAACTGTAATTTCAGAGAACAGGCAGGAAAATGTAAAATGCTGCTTTTACCCACTACAGACATGCAAGTTTTTAATACAGGTATTTTAGTCCTCTAAAGTAAAAAGCAACACTCACAAAACCAACACACATTTGCTGTTGAGAAGAGTGCTCAGAGAATTTTGAATTACTAAGAATCAAGGTGGAAAAAAAGAAAATTTCCTATCTGCACCCAGGAAAGCTTGTTCAATCACCTACAGCTTCTTAATTCCCACTCCCACACTGACTTGATGCTTGTCCAGATGAGGTTTTAATACAGTGTCTCTCAAAGCTCTCCTGGATCGAGCCCCCTGTTTTTATAAAATGCATCCAATGACTCACTAAGACATCCATTCATTTACAGAAGTGAAAATACAAAATGATTGCCAATATATAAAGTGATCCTGAGCCACCTCCAAAATGCCTTTGGAAATAATTATTACAGATTATCAAGGGACACAAGGTTCCTGCTTGAACATCTGAGGAGGGAAACTGTTCATCTCACAGAAAAAGACAGGATGGAATGGCTTGAGTTTATATATTACAAGACTGAAGCCATCTTCATTTCTCTCATCCAAAATTTTGAAGAATTTAGCTCAAAGGGTTGGGTCTTACTGAAGAGCTCTGAAGAAAAAAAAAATTGGAGTAATTACCATTTTTATTATGACACGGTCTAGTAATGAAATGTAATTTTGATATCCATGAACAAGAGTTTAACTGGATTCCAGCTACTATTAACAAGTCAAAATTGAAGTAAAAAGCACTGCTGTTGATGTATAATTTGATTACTTCAAAACATGAGCTGCTTTACCTAAGCCTTCAGATCTGCAAAGGAGATTATTAAATTTAAGAAGAACCAGAAAACACAGAGTTCCTGGGGACTAGTCCAGCCATTGCTCTTGTGCAGTCTCAAGCACTGCAGCTCCCTCATATCCTTCATCAGGCAGTTTTGGTTCCATTCCCATCCCTAACATATGTTCATTGACTTGCTGCTGCCACTGCTGCCCTGACAAATGCAGATTTTAAAAAAAATTAACCCCATTCTTCCCACTCACAATATCAGCCCCGTTTAAGTCGCAGAGCACCAGGATCTGCCCAGGTCACCACCACCTTCTTCTGAGGGCTTGAAACTCTCGTTTATGAGAAAAGATTAAAATGTTTTTTCCTGGAATGGAGATGACCCTGATTTAACATCTCACTGGGAAACCAGCATGAACTGTTCTCAGAGCTGCACTGGCTGGAACCACCAGAGCTGGGTGTAAACCAACTTTCTAAAACCAGATGGCATCTGTGCTGCTCTCTGTACTTGATATTAAAGCACAACATTCAGGGCTGCTGCACTACTGGAGAAACCTCTTGTAGGTAACCCCAAAGTCCCAGCCATAAAACACCCACCTGTCTCTTCCCCAGATCAGCAGGAGGATCTCAAACTCCTGTGCTTGCAGCCGCATTTCCTCCGAATTTCCCTCACACTGCAGGTTTGCCCTCGGTTGCTCAGCAGTGCTGTGGGTTATGTGAGCAACCACAGCTCTCTCCAAAAGCAAAATAACTGAAATTTGTACATAGTTTGCTGTTTTCACTGGCGTAAAAACACAGAGTAATAAACACCTCCAGCCATTATCCCAGCTGGAGAAGTCTGACACGCAGGGATGCACTTTTAACGCTGCTTCACTTGGAGGAGAAGTGTTTTGACTCAGAGAAACGTTGAAGCTGTCGGTGTTTCACCCCACACAGCCACATCCATCCCGTGTGTCACCGAGGCAAACGCACCTTGCTTCATGGAGACACATCAGTCACATCTACACTGATGAAGAACTAAAACAAAGCTCTAAGGGAAGGAGTCATGCTATTAAAAACCAAATAATTCACGTATTACTGGAACTTCTGCTTCATTTTGTATGCCATGAATCATTCTTGCTTATTGAAATTCATGACAAGGTCTATGATTAAGGGAATGGACTCTGTGACTGTGCATAGAAATGCAAGCTCGAGCTTTAAATTGGTAAAAATCCTGATTGCATCACTTATTCTTTGAAAATAGCTATATATATGTTCATATCTCTAAATATGCACATGTGTGTGTGTATCACACACATAATCTTTCAAATTACTTTAAAGACTATTGTGCCTTTTGATGAAGCCTGAGATGAAAACAAAAGGGCAAAATGCAAGTGATTTTGCCTGCACACTCTGGCAAGGTGCTTCTGAAAAGAGAGAGGAGAGAAAAGGTTCAAGCCTCTCCATTCTGAAAATTCATCCTTCAGTACTAGTGAATTTTTCCCTTTTATTAAATCCTAATTATGTCCTAAAGAAATACTCCCAGTGCACGAGGAGAAGACTTTTTAAAAAATTAAATCTACGGTTTTGGTCTGGTTTCAGTCCAATCTGTTAATACACAAACACTGACAAATCAGTGAATGAGGCCTAAGAAACAGCATTACAATCAAACCCTAAGAACCTGTCAAAACTGTACATGCAAAACTATAAAAACTCCAACTGCGCCGGCATAAAAATACAAGTTGTTAGAAAACAAGAAATAAATGGGTTTGCTATTTCGGAGAAGCGAAAATGTTTGGAAAATGAAACCCTGAGAACACCAAACACGTTAAGCCAAATCCAGGCTTATATTTAAACCTGGCCAAGAGAAGCGAGCGCTGTTCCAAAAGAGCTGCAGTACAAAGTAGCACATCCCACTCGCTGCTGGGGAGGAAATGTGCTGCAGTGAGAACCCAGGGCACGTAATTCACTGAAAAAAAATGGATTAAGAGTTTAGTAATAACGGCACATCTGGAGTGACAGCCCTGCTCGTTGCTTCGGATGCTGCACCATCCCAGCCCAGGTGCCTGTTTATTCCCTCTGCTCCAGGGAGGGACCACCCCGAGGACGAGTCAGGCTCTCCAGGTCTCCTCCCCGCAGAAAATCAGAGCAAGGGGGTCACAATTAGTGGCTGCAGCTTGTCAACAAAAGCCTCTGCACGCCCCAAAATATGCTTTCCAGTGTTTGGAATCGCTGCTTAATACCACCCCCTGAAGAAAGGGATGTGATTTCTTGACTTGCTCAATTAAAAAATGAGTAATGAGCTGCAGCAGATGTAAACCTTGAAGACAGAGCGGTATGAGTAGCCAGAATTAGCTAATTACATCTCACTTACTCAAGGAATCTGCACTCAAACAGCTTCTCCTGCACAATTCCCTCTTTTATTTGGGTTACAAGAGACAGAGCAATGGATCGGTTGGGTAAACTTCCATCTGGTAAATTCACTTAAAACCAGCAGGGTTTACCCCCAATTAATGTCATACCCCAACACTTCCAATTTACAGGGGGGGGGCACAAGAGTAAAATAAAAAACTCACCCTGTTTTCAGCAGGGGTGGAATTGAATTAAGATGATATAAATGGAACTACATTTCCTGCTCAACGTAGTTGCTAAACAGGCTCTTTTTGTACCAAAAAAAAAAAAAAGGCAGAATATTTTTGGCAACAACTAGAGCAAGAAGTTCATTTACTATAGATAACAAATGATGCAAGGGTGACAGCAGCAAATAAGAAATCCAACAAACTTTGTGCATTTTCGAGATGGAACAGCAGGGATACAAGCAAGGAGAAGTTTTTAATGAGGAAAAGACCAGAACACAAAGCAAAACAAATACAACCATGTTTGACAAATATCTTTATGAGGCTGTGGTGGGACTGTATCCACATTTTCAGGCATAACTGTACTGAGCACTTCTGGTTCATCACTGCACATTAATGTGGTTTAACACATTCTTCCACCATGTTAATTATCCCGAGCCCACTGTGTGTACTTAAGCCAGCCAGGCCCTAATGGACCCACAGCCTTGCTGCACCTCTAATTGCTCTTTTTGATCACTCATGCCAGTAGATGCATTATCTGAAAGTGTATCTTGCTTGCTTTCTTCCCTTTTCTGTTTCTGTTTTAAAGCAATAATCTAAAATTTAAAACCATTAAGTTGGCATTATTATCATTATTACAGTCTGAATTATGGGTTTGCAAATTCCAGAGTTCAATGAAGAGTAGGAAGATAATTTATGATGCCCCAGTTCTAAACTTTCTAGATCAGTCAGAGAAGCTATCACTCAAGTATTGAAACCATTTGAAAAACCCAAAAGATAAATAACTATATAACAATATATATAGTAATAACCTCTCAAGCACTTGTGGTAAAAGCCACATTACCTGTCTCAGGTAAGTACTAAGGTGCTGGATACATGGAAGGATTACAGAAAATCAGGTTGTAGGTGAGTGTCACTGTGAGAAGAAGCATCTTCACTACAGGAATAGCCCTTGACAGCCCAACCTGAGACCCACTCTGCTCCAAAGGTTAATTCACCTTTGCACAGAAACACAGATTTTCTAAACTAGGATCAAATAAAATATTTAAGACACACCGTTATGTCAATATTGAGTAGAAAAAAACCAAACCCTCCCCCAATTCATTGTAATGCTGCTGAGGAGTTATAAACAGTTACTGTATAAATACAGTGACTGATATATTTAGACACAATTCAAATGGAAACATTGATTGTAAAGAAAATAATGAAAATTTTTAAGTTAATTCCTACCTTATTGTTTCTTCTATCAGTCGATCTGAGCTGAAAGCCAAACAAAAAAAAGAGGTTTAAAAAAAGCAACAAGCCCAAAGTACCATTTTAGATTACTAATCAATGATCGTCATCATACAAACCTTAATAAATTTGCCCTTAGAATGTTTTATTTTTGGATGTTGTCACATTCTGCTACTACACAGATCTGGTTTATATATAGTCTTTGGAGAAGATGCTCCTACTGTTCTCTGGAGCAGCATTTCCTAAGTGTGTGCAAGAGCAGGTGCTCAGGAGAGCACGTGAAGCACCGAGGAGACGGGAAAAGGGGAATGGGCACCACGATTTATGGGAGGCTGCTTGGAAAGGAGTGTTAGAAAAGCAGCACCTGATTTTATTGCTTTTTAATGCTGGCCATTCCTTTCCAACCCTTCAAAAAAAAAAAAAAAAAAAAGGCAATTAATGATAAAAGCTGAGACCTGGCTCCAGGTAACACCATCCCAGAGCATTGGTTCAGGGGTGGTCCAGCAAACGCTGGTTCATGCTGGTTAACAAGGCACACTCGTTCTGCAGCAACACCAGCTGGATGAGAGCTGAGTGGGGAGCAGAACACACACCACGTGTACGAGAAGGGCCTCGATACCACGTGCCCTGCCCTTGTTTGCAGTCGAGTTTCGGGGCAGCATCACTGGGAAAAGGGCAGCTCAAAATACACCACCGAAAAGAACGTTTCATTTACAGAGCGGGACGTACAGGATAAAGATGACAAACAAGATCCTCACATGACTGGAGCTGTCTCTCTTTTTTCTCTGCTCAACTTATAGGCAGGGTTTTAATCACTGCTTTGCAGCCAGTTGTGAAATGCCAGAGACACATCTCTGGTTGCAGCAATCAATATTTCCAACGTAAACCCTGACACAGAAGAGGTGGCTGCATCCCTGTTTCCCACAGTGTGTAAACAGTGATTCATCCCCACAATTGCTCCATTTACCCCACAGATTTATACAAATTCTTGGAGGATAACTGAGAAAAAAAAAAATAAATACGAGAGTTTGCAGCTTGAGAAGGAAATCAACCTGACATAAAGCAGTTTTATGTTGTACTGGATATTTCTTCCAGTATTAAAGCAGAATTTACTGTTTTCAAACTAGAAGACACCAAAAGGGCACGACCGCCTTCCTCTCCCACCCTCCTTGTTCCAAGTGTTTTCCACCTCAGAAGGGAAGGTACCAACAGGCACAGCACAGTCCTGCCTCTGACTCAGCCAGAGATTTGGAGCTTTTTTCCTACCCCCAGGAATTCTGGAGATTCCCCCCCAGCTCAAGCTGGAAGGGGTGCCTTGGAAACTGCCCTGGGTGGGGAGGCACAAACAGAGTCGCTGTTTGTCTGTGAGGAGGAGTGAAAACACGAAGGCTGCTATTTCAGTCCACCCCTGGCTGGGAACACAGGGACAGAACAGAGCCCTAAAAATAATTTTGCCCAATTTTCAGTTGAGAGGGACTCAACTGGGGCAGCAAAGAGAGGGACACGCCCTCCTGCTCCCAAAACAGAGCCACGCTCCAAGGACTCAACATGAGCTGCGAGCACACCGGGTTAATCAAACCAAGCCACTTTCATTCACTGTGTGGTGTTTATTACACCAGCACAGAGAAGTAAAACACCAGAGCTGTGTGCACAGAAGGATGTGAGCAGCCTCACAGCATCTCCTGATGTCCCCAAGGCAAGCAGAACACATTAAAGATTGCTGTAATCGCTGAGCCTCCAAGATACACAATTCAGCTGAGAACGTGCCTTTCATAGACAGTCTCTAACAGACAAGTGTGTTATGTGGGCAGTGCATAATAAGAATAAACTGCAAAAACATCAGAAAACAGCCTGAAAAGCAAGAGCAGAGCACAAGAATTCATCATTTTTTAAAAAGCTTTGTTTTGGTGTGTTTTTTTTAAATTTATTATCAATGAAAAAGTATATCTGAAGCTTTGCCAGAAATAAGTTACACTTTAAAAAAATTCTGTGGATCAAAACATTGCTAGAACAGCCCTATCAAAAAACCTGCCTTAGAAAAACCACTACCAGCCCTTTGACCATTTAACTGATGAAATTAGGGAATTTTCATGTTGATGAACTGAAGGTGACAGGAAAGCTGAACAGTTTTACTGACCTCAAGCGAATTAGGATGTTCTCCAAGGTTTTTGGAGCACAAAAATTAGGATTGCCAGTTTGCAGCAGAGACACTCACTGCTTTTTACATTGGAGAAAGCTGCAGTTAGGTGGTTTTATTGCTTAATCAGAGACATAAACAGAAAAAGTTATTTAAAAGCTTCCGATTAAGTTATACCACATTATTTTTATATGTGTGTGTCTGTTTACAGACATATAAAATCAAACCCTGGAAATACAACTACCTGTAAAATGATGACAGAAGTTAATAAAAATGAGTAAACCCAGAAGCATTAGATGCAAATGCCAACACAAGGCATTTAACAGGCACCTGAAGCCACAAGATTGATGTTTCTCAACTTACTGGACCTCACCCCAACTATTTGAAAGGATGAGATGCACGTGAAATTTTCTTCACAATGACTGATGTGTAGGTAAGGGCAGACTGCATTAACTTTTAGAGTCTTAAATAAATAGCTGGGAAGCACAGAGATTTCCTAACCACAGCTCCCAGGGTTCTTCCCACCCTGAGAAGCATCAGCTCTTGAGAGGATCCCCAAACACACCTCCCCTTGCAGGTGAACAAACTCTACAGGAAACGGCAGTGACATTCACTGACATTTTGCTAAAGGTTGTCAGTGTGAGCAGGAGCATTTCAGGGATTCTGATGTGCGGGTTTTTACCATCAGAGTTCTGTTAAGTTTAGTTCTTCCTGCAGATCAGTTCAGGGAGGTGTCAGAGGCTTTTCCAAAGGCTGGAACATGCACTCAGCCAGCACCTCCTGAAGTCTTTAAGTCTCCTTGGCAAACACAGATTGTAAAGTTCACTTACAGTGATACCCAAACAGAAGCAGCTGTTTCATCACTTTACAGCTCATAACCATAAAAATAAGTCAGATTTAAGGAAGATCAGGAACACGAAGTACAGCAGAGCCCAGGGACCCAAGGGAAGTTGGCGGCTCCCTGGCTATTAATAACCTGTTTTACACAGATAGGAACTGTTCTCACAATTACAAATGTTCATTCCAACTGTTTGCCAGAACAAAAAGAAAAAAAACAAAAACCATCGAAAGAAGTAATTTTGCTTAACTTACACATTCAAAACACTGCAAAAAGAGGCTCCTAGAAAAAAAAATAAATAAATGAAAATCTACTGACTTTGCTCTTCTGCTGTCCAAGCAAAGACATCAAATGCAGTGGCCACCTCCTCGTGAGCAGACAACGGTTCTGGGCACTCTGAACCTGCCCTGCCATCTCCTTCAACAAGCTCTGCATTTTCACCTGTCCAGACAGACAGCACTTTGACAAAGCCATTTAAAAATACTACAGGAAAGAAACTCTGGAAGATGCTGAGGCCATCAGCTCCTGCAAGGAATGGCACAAACCCAAGAGCAGCAGCAGCAGCCACGCATGTGAAATAATCAGGCCTGCCTTTGTCATTTAAATATGCAGGCAGGTAAATGAATCCCAAGGAGGAATTAAGTGAAATGTGCCCTCCAGGATGGAAGAGAATCCTGCCTATCACATCAGGCTTTTACAATTAGAGGAAGTTTTTTTATGTTCTTGGGGATTTTTTCAAGCAAACATCTACGCCAGTTAAATATAACAAATAGAGAGAAGTGAAATAAAGTTCATTAATATAGATGAATACTTAGATGAGGACTGGGCTTCTCCCATATCCATAGATTTTGCTGCTGACTTACCAGCTGGGTACCCAAAACAAGCACTTGTCAGAGGAACAAGATGCAGCAGCAAGACTCATCTGCACACAACTCATTTCACAACACGCTTTAAACCCTTCAGATGAAATTAAGGGCAATATTATCACTTAGAATAATTTAAAAGGAATAGGGAAAACCCTGTGGAATAAACTAATATAGCATGTGGTAACTATTTCCTTCCTTTCATAAAGAATAACTACAGAAATAATAATTTTACTTTGTTCTTTCTTTAACTGCAAGATCAATCACCAGACTCTGCTCCCTCGAACTGCCTGCAATAAATCTTTCATATTTTCACAGTCCTGGGTCACCAGGCAACGTGGAGCTTCCAGGAATGCAAATCCTGCAAGACATACTTGATTGTCTAATACAAATATACAGGTTATGATGAAGCAAATCCGACACATACAGTCAGTTATTTCCATCATCATGATCATAATAACAGAATAATAATGAAAGAAACCCTGTGCACACACACATGAAAAACCCATCTCTAATTCATTTTTTTCTGCTTGCCATCGGCTTTCCTTATCATATAAAAATTCAGATCATTAAGCTCTTTAAAAACTTAATTAGAAGGTAAAGCAGAACACTTTTTTTTTTTTCTCCCTGTGATAACAAATAAGATGTTCCAGATTTTATAAGGCTCGTCTCAAACTTGATTTAATTTAGTGTGAAAGAGAGAATTCCACTGGAGCTGCTTTTCTAGCTTGGAAAGGAATCATAACAGAAAAGACAGCACAAGCAAGAGCATTAAATCAACGTATAAATTTGCTCCAAAGGAACAATATGTTATTAACAACAATCACCCCTACAAGCTCTAAACACCTAAGTAATCTTATTTCTGCAAACCACTGTACTGGGGAGTCCAACACTCAGTAATCACTTCCAGTAAGAATAAGGAATAGGAGCAAAAGTGGGAGAGAAAGAAGCACAATACCAGGTTGCTTTTAATTAATGCAAGCAATTTGTTACATCCAGAATGAAAGGCACTGGAACATAACCCACTGCTCCAGGCAAGAGTAAGCCAACGTTATCTGGTGACAAGTTTCTTTCCAGATGGTTCACATGTACCTTGTGCACGAGGAAATAAAATACACAGAAGGCATCCTTTTCACCCTAGGGAAGGATCTGCCAAAGGATTTCCAGGAAAATAATCTGGTGAAACCTG